AGAAAAGGGCGGCGTGCTCCTCTCTCTCTCTCTCTCTCTCTCTCTCTCTCTCTCTTTCTATATATACATATGTGTGTGTGCGTGCGTGCGTGCATGCGTGTACGCGTTCGAACCTTCCCAGCTCTTTCGAGTGGGTGTACGTCGCGACGTGCACCGCGTGTATATACGTTGCGATCGTCGAACCGCTGATTGCCAAGCAAAAAGAAGAATGAGGAACGAAAACGACGATTCTTCCGTTCCGTTTTATTTTTTTTCTTTTTCTCTTTCTTTTCTTTCTTTTTTTTTTTTTTTCTTTGCTGAGACACACGCGACACCTTGTGGATTTCGGTATTTGTCAAAGGTTACGGTCTCGATGCAACGAATCCTTCGAAATCCTACGTCGGAAGTTCAATCTCATCACTATTTCTTTCAACGTAAGAGGAAACGTTGGATGCGAGAATTCCCTCGCGATCCAATTTCAAAAGTGCCCGTTCACTCTCGAGTTGAGGACACGTTGCAGGAAAGAAGGCTTCGACTTCTTTTCCTCCCCGATTTGCATGCCTATCGCCAAATTATAAGCGACTGGTAGGTACGGGAAGAAAGCGGGCGATTCTTGGAGATACGCGGTCGACAGTTGGAAGCGTGCGTACGAATCGGCTCGTAGTTAGCGGATGGCCACGTGGTTCGAATACCGGGGCTGAAGTCTCCGCGATTGCCTCGCAGGTCGGTATTCGAGATTCGTACTCGAGCGCGTCCGATGTGCCCGCAGCCGATGATTTCAAGCCAGGCAGGCATTTCCCTCCCCTGCTCGTTCGTCCTCCTTCTCTTGCCTCGCGGCCCTTGGCCTCTGCGCTCCCTTCTGGAACCACTGGGCACATCGCATTGACGACATTCTCTCACGTGCCGGCCACTCGTGTCGCGGCTGTCGTTCCTGGTAACGAGAGTGGAAAGATCCAGGGAGAAAGGCGGGAAAAATTCCACCGCGCTTAACTCCCTTCTAGCTGTTTCCAACTAGTTTCAACGAAAATCAGAAGCCGCCCGCAGAAAACTCGATCGACTAAGCAGCCAACGTGTCTTCAAGCTAGACGAAGTTCGTGTCTGAATTCCGATCATGACCATTGAAGAAGAGTCCTCGACACGATAACGAACGACGTAACAGATCGAAGAGAGAGAGAGAGAGAGAGAGAGAGAGAGAGAGAGAGAGAGCGTGGCGAAGGTACGGTGATCCCTAAGGTTCCACGAACGGAGCACCTTTCCGGACGTTCCACGCGGGACGTGGAACTCCGCGATGGAATTTCGAGGAACCTTGCAAAGAGAAAGAGGAGGATAGAAACGCGGTAGGTGGTGGGACAACGAGATGGTGGTTGTCGTTTGGTTCCTGGTGTTCTTGTTGCATAGCCGGGTGCTCCGAGTACCTACCTACTCACTCCCTCGAACCAAAAGGGCAGCACACCTTGGCTGGCCATTGGCTCTCCTCCATCTTCCTCTCTCTCTCTCTCTCTTTATTTCTCGTTCAGAGAGAGAACGTCTCTCTCTTTCCCTCTTGTCGAGGTTCTCCGGTGTTCCACATAAATACACAAATACCCTAGCATAGCCGACCGGCGCGTATATACCGGGACCACGGCCGCATTCCACGACCCCCGCCCTCTCCCTCTCACCTCTGCCTCTTTCTCCCCCTCCCCCTCCTCCTCCTCCTCCCCCTCTCCTCCCACCTTGGTCTCTTTACCCTTGTACGCCGTCACCACTACTAACCACCATCGGCAACGGCAGCAGCAACAGCAGCAGCAGCACACCACCGTTGCCATCATCATCGCCAACCACCACCGTCACAAACCACTAGCCACGTTGGTCGTCACTATCGCGCCGCCAGGGCCCCATCTTTGGGCCCTTTACCTTCTCCCACCTTTCGACCAGTGTATATACTGCCTCCTACTCTCCCCTCGTGCTACCTTCTCGCCCTTTTCACTCGTTCGTCTCTTTCTTCGCGCACACGGCGCCACCGAATACCTTTCGTAGCTGCTCCTCTTCTCGCCCGGGCTCCTCCGCCCTTACTCGGGGCCCCTCTACACTTTCATTCTTCTTCGTCCTCCTCTTGCAGTTCTCTGCCCCACCCTCTCTGGCCCTCTCTTCTTTTCTCTTCTCTTCTCTTCTTCTCTTTTCTGCCATTCCTCCTCGACACACACACACAGACGCGAGAGAAGCTGCCTGTTAGCTCGTACATGTGGCATACACCGACCTGCGGGGAATATTTTGTTTACCTCGCTCACCTAGTCCTTTGAATTCCGCGCCGGCAGCGGATTCCTCTTCTCGGTTTCTTCCAGCTCTTCCTCTTATCCCGTAGCGGTCTTCCATGGACCAAGGTCTCTCCTTCACGCAGAACGCTCTTCTCCAAATCGGTGCTCCTCGACGATCCTACCTATCGGCTGTTTTCATCGGTTCACCTGTTTTCTTCGTCTCTTCCTCCTTTTTTTTTTTTTTTTTTAACGTGTCTTATCGTGGTTCGTGAAACATGTGTACGTATCTCGAGATATTTCCGGTATTTTGACGGACGAAAGTGACGAAAACTTGCCTGCAGTACTGATATTCGGAGAAATTGAAAAAGTTTCTGTTTATTAGCCTAAGTTTCTGTTTCAATTTCTGTTTATAACCTAACTGAAACCAATGGTTCCCAAGGTGGAAGTGACGCTGCGGAAAGTGAAGTTTCCCCGAACGATACCTTCGAACTCCGTTTATCCGCTGAATATGATTATCACAATTAAAATTTCATTGCAACGAAGTAATTGTAATTTCAGTCGTTCGATTCGCCAAATTTCTGCATCGGTGTTGCCACCCAAGCTTGCCAAGCGATGCCAAAATTTTGCACTGTTGTCGGCGAGGAGGAGCAAAACATCTCTGATTGACGTAATCAAAATTGGTGACAAAATTGAATCAAATTAAAATGTTGGATGACCAACCCGGACAATATTGAATTTATACTGATAATGGGCATGAATCCACATAAACGTGGACTGTGAAAGTTAGTCATAAGAACAAGATCCAATAGTTGGTCATCTCATGCTCCTTCCTCTTCCACTTGACGATAATAACTAAATATATATAAGGACATGCTTTAGAGACATTCGAGAGCATAAAACATTCTAAATCATTATAGAGACATTTTATATCATTAAGAGCATAAAGCATTCTAAATCACTACAGAGACATTCTATATCGTTAAAAGCATTAAACATTCTAAATTATTCTACATCATATTCAAGAGCATTAAACATTGTAAATCATTCTACATCATATTCAAGAGCGTTAGACGTTCATCATACTCTAAGACATTCTAAATCTTTGTAAATCATTCTATATCATTCTATTTCATACACGACTGAAAGGGAATAAATTATAAGCGTGTTGACTCCATTACACGGAGTCCAACAGAAAATCCTAAGGCCATGTAATTCAACCTTATAAATTGCCCAAACGACAAGTTTTGTCACATAAAATTTCAAAACTAAACACGACGAAAACTTTGAACTGGTATGTAGAAGTCTGGGAAATTGTTTACAAAAAGAAAAAAGAAGAAAAGAAGAGACGAATTCGATTTAACGTGTCTGTTGGAGTTTCTTCTTCGAGTTGGAAGAACCATCCCTTGAAGAGTGGCTGCGTACCCAACCTCGTGTAACTTGAACACACTCTTCACAGAGATTTCACTTTCGCCCCGATCGCGAGACAAACATACCTGTCTCTCACAGTTCTCGGTATCCCGTTCACGAGAAAAGAACATCCGAAAATGCCGAGAGCCGCGAGCTTGTCCTTTGAAACGTTGTCCCTGTCAGCGGGGAAGCAATCAACGGGCGCACCTTTTCGTACGATTAACGGCAAAGGCGTACACGCTTGCTTTATCGCGGCTCCTTCGACACTTTTATCTGCGTTCTCACGCTCAGATTTTTCGAGGGTAAAGGAAGAAAAAAAAAAAAAGGAAACCAAAGAGAGAGAGAGAGAGAGAAACAACACGCGTTCGACCCTCTCGCGCGTCGTTGACCGTGGCCTGTATCGGTACGAAACGAAAAGGAAAGAAGAAGGAAGGGGGGGCATCGGTGTTGGAAACACCGACTGCACGCACACGCACACACACACACACACTCTCTCTCGTAACCTACCACACGTAGAGAGGTGAGGCCGCTGGCAAACGGAGTCCGTTTTCGTAAAAGCATGCACTTATTCCCAGCATCGTCGAGAGCGGTTCCTCTGCTCTGTGTCCCGGGCTGCTGGCCACCAACACAACAGAGAGAAAGGGAAAAGGGAAAGAGAGGGGTATATGTATGTATACGGGCAGAGGCTCCCGAATGAGATATATAGCACTGAGCAACAAATGAGGTCCTTCCGAGAATCGGGCCACCGACACAGTGCCCGAAACGGCACGAGGGGGTGAGAACCACCCCGATCGTCGGTTCTCTTCCCTACGCGTAGGCTACGAGCCGTGTGCGCCTCTCTAACGTTTGTTTCTTGTCATCCGCTGCTTTTTCTTCTATCCCCGGTCCCTTTATCTCGTCGTTTAGCTTTCAGAAACCTGCTTGGGATTATCCCATTTTTCGTTTCCCTCCACCCTGTGGTTCCGTGTGAATGAGCCTGTTCCAGGAACCTTTCGCCGCTCTTGTCTTTATTTTTTCTATTTATTTTTTTTTTTTTTTTTTTTTTTTTAATTGCCAAGATCCTTTAATCCTTTTGAAGTAAAAAATTTACAAGAGACACATATTTTCCCATCAAAAATATCACTGCTATTAGATTATATTAGTAATCATTGTAATTATTTTTAAGTTCTAACATATATATTTTAAACAATGCCTAAACATGTTTGTGTTTAAAATTGAAAATATTTCTAGTATATTATACTATCTGGTATATTATAAATTTTCCATAAATTCTATTAAAATTATATACAAATAATGTTTAAGCTATTTATAAATAATTTTTGTTTATAAATTGCATGAAATGTATTACTTTATAATACTTTAAATTGAATAATAACAACTTATTAACAATATCCCAACCAGCATGTAAGTAGTATAAGACTAGAACAGGACAGTCAGTCGCACTCAAGATATGATGTCTGATACATCCTATATTATACTACTGAATTTTAAATTTTGTCTAATTCTTTCTTTTTTTTTGATACAAAAATGATTTTCTCAAAAAGATAATCACAGGGGGCGTAGCTCAGATGGTAGAGCGCTCGCTTAGCATGCGAGAGGTACTGGGATCGATACCCGGCGCCTCCAAAACTTTACTTTTTGATCCTTTCACTGAAACTGGATCACATTGTTACACTACAATGATATGTGAATTAAACCAGATCAAAGGGGGCGTAGCTCAGATGGTAGAGCGCTCGCTTAGCATGCGAGAGGTACCGGGATCGATGCCCGGCGCCTCCAATTACTTTTAAAAATTAAATCCTTTTTTTCCATATATGTTGAAGAATACAAATCAATAACTTTCATTATCATTTCACTTGTTCCAATTAAAATGCTACAAGATTAACTTTAAATTGATGATAAATAAAAATTACTTTTATATATAATAAATAATCTATAAACTTTACCTGATAATAACTCAGGGGATTGGAGGGTGGTGGTACATTTGGATCCACTAATTCCATGTTATGCAACCAGGGTAACAAGTACTGAAGTAACAATTGTCGTACTTCCCTTCTAGCCGTTTGAAATCTATGTGTAATTTCTGCAAATAATACATAATGTAGCGTAAGTCTTATGAATTGTTTAATTATTTATTCTAATAAAATACTGGTTTAATATAGGTCTGTAGTATAATATTTAGATCATTTCTAATAATGACTTAGTGAATAGCCTTAAATATTGATTTTTATTATATTGTTAAAAGAAATATAAATATATTGAATTTGTAATGTAAATATTTTTATTAATTATCTTATTGCATTATGTTAACTATGTTATGTTAAAGTGGAGCAAAGAATCGGAAAGTGTCTGTTTTAAGAAAACATTTCTGTTTATTAGGGAAACGAATACAGGAAATGTGATCAAACAAAAGATTGCATTTGCACTTGTCGTTTGAAACCTATTCTGTAATATCATTCATCATTGTTCATTGGAAATGCTAATCAAAACTAATAAAATGAAGTATATTTTCTGTACAAATATACAAAGTAAAGCAGAGAAAGAGGTATTAGGCTGAGTTATAAATGGATGAATATTTCTAGCTGTCTGACAGTAAAAGAGTTGAGCTGTAATGGACTTCTGTTTACAATGCTCTACATAACAATCACTGAGGAACAAAAATGAATGCATCTATTTGTTATTAACTGATTAAAATAACAAATTATTTGACAAGGAAATAAATAGATCATTCTTTTTAAGCTATGTATTCATTATCAATATTTCATTAATTTAATTAGTATTAATTCATGAAGTTTATACTAATTATAACGTAACTAGAATTTCTGTTAAGAATTATTTCTATCATGACGAAACAGAAACTTACCACTAAACATAGGCATCGTCAACTCCGGATGAAGTTGAGCAAGTTGACGAGAAAGATACATTTGATTACGACAATATGTGGTTGATAAAAGTACATCAAGAGTGCCACCCCTAATTGTACCATTTGAGGATATTCCACCGATAGGATTACTTTGTTGTCCTGGTGCAGAAGTAGCTGTAGTTGATGAACCCCCAACAGGGTCATCCTGACCTAAAACAAGAAACAATGGAATTATTAAGGATAATGGCTCAAGTTAATGTAACTTTGAAATTAATTTAAATGCTACCTATAGTAATATAGTAATAAATACCACGCTATAATGTGATATATTTGTGAAAATGAAAACTGATATCCAATGTAGCCTCATTAATAATATAATCCTAAAAAATATTTTTGGAAGTTCTCCCATAATCCTTTTTAATCATGTGTTTATAGGCAAGAGTCTATTAGACTCTATAGGCATTAGAGTCTATTTTAGAAATTAAAAAAATTAAATTGCACGAATTAATAAGTATAAATAAGTATAAATGTATCATATGTATGTATTATAATGTGTAAGTAAAATAACATTTTTTATTGCTAGAAATTATATAATATCACCACATACCATTATATAACTTTGTATTTTATAATAAATATATGATCCTTTTACAAAATATTTCATGTAAAATGTAAGAAGTATTTGTATTTCGGCTTGGTGCGCAGAAGCTAGACGGATTGGACTTTATCAAGAACAGTTGCCGATGCACTATGCAGAAATAATTGAGTCGGCATCCCGATGTATACTTCTTGTAACTCCTCGCTTGTGATTCAGAAAAGTTTTTTTTTTAATAAATTTTAACGTATCTAACGGCGATAAATACTTTTAATACAAATAACGCGTAAAAGAAGCGATCAAACATTTGAAAAAATGCATTTAAAATAATGTTCCTATTGTAACTTTAGTTAAGATTAAACATAACAAGTAAAAAGTTGTTCAGTTTACAAAAGAGTTGTGTACGCGTTTTCTAATAAAATAATAGAATATTGAATTAATTAAAAAAAAATAATTAAATTAAATAAAAAATTTTATTTACTATATAAAATAAAATAAAAATAAAATATATCAGTTCAAAGGATATTAAATGTACCATAGTTTATACGAGAAGTTTCAAAAGCTGGAATTAAATGTTTCGTTTAATGGTAATTTAAATTTTTCCTAAATTTTCTAATTTGAAATAGTTATGAATCCTATATAAGCGACATACATTTTTTCGTGAATCTTTGAAGACGTCAAGAGAATTTGGCAATAATCCAATACAGTTTTTCATAAAACGTAAAACAAATATCGCACGCTTCTGTTTATCATATGAAATTTGATAGATTGTCCCGAAATACTAAAAAAGAAATGTATTACTAACTATAGAAAATAATTTATCTCGGTGTATCAAAAGTATGTTGGTGCTACGAAGATTACTCTTTTACGATAAGATTACTCTTTATAATGATAAAGTACAAGAAAACATTTAACATTAAGATTTTTTTTAAACAATATTTTGACGTTATTTCTTTATTTAAGATATCATGACATATCCTTCTAAAAAAACATATTAAGATGTATTTGCATTTGTGAGATATTAGTTAATGGAAAGTGAAAACATAAAAATATTTTCGAGCATTACGCGTCACCGTGAACGCATCCTGCATATGATCGAGATCATCCTTCCTCCCCTTGTTTAAAATCATCTTACGAAAATGGTACACGCGCAAAGAGATTTCGTGGAGCTCGACTTAACAGGAAACATGTTAGGTAGCGTCCAATTATATTACACCCCGATTCTCGTCTATTTTGGATCACTGGAAAATTGCCTTTCGGTAATCGTGTTTTTTGGAACGAAACTCTGTCAATATTCTTCGAGCATTTACCTCGGTACATTAGCCATAAGCGATACTGGTTTTCTGGTATCTGTTTTTGTGGTTTGGCTGAATATGGTAGAAGTTGGTCTGTTCAATAAGCCGGGTTTCTGCCAATTTTTCATCTACTTAACGACCCTCTGCAGCTTCATGAGCGTTTGGCTCATGGTGGCATTCACCATCGAGAGATTTATTGCCGTGCAATATCCACTATGTTGCCAGTCAATGTGTACAGTGGCCAGAGCAAAATTAACGGTTGCTGTATTGATCATATTGGGACTTATATTGTGCAGTCCGGTTTTCAGTTTTATGGTTTTCAGCGCCGCGATTACAGTCCAATAAAAAGGGAAATGTAACTGAGTGCCATTTGGCAGAAGGACTGGAGTCTTGGGCGATTGTTTACAACGTGATTGACACGGTATTCACGTTTGCGATACCGTTCACGGTGATCATTATCCTGAATGTGTTGATTGCACGAGCTATTTATAGATATATTAAAATTAGGAAATCTCTAACTAATGAACCGCGTATCATGAAAGAGAGACAATCATATGCCCAAAGTTTCCGTCACAATTTCGCGCAGACTAAGATCACTAAGATGTTGCTGGTTGTTTCTAGTGTTTTTCTTTGTTTTAATCTACCTGCGTACGTTTTAAGAATTCATGCTTTCTTACATGTACGTACAAGCAAGAAGAATTTAAACATTTAACGTCTAAATATTAGTATGATTTCATTAGTACAGTAAAACATAGTTTCAGGAAGAAAACAACGCACCTAGATCAGTGGAACTGACGCAACAAGTTTGTAATCTGTTATTTAATACCAACTTTGGAATCAATTTTATTTTGTATTGCGCAACGGGACAAAATTTTCGTAGAGCAATACGATGCATGTTTTTAAGACGCTTTCGCAACAGAAGTGTAACTATAATCACGTGAAAGATCAAGGAAAGCAAAATATACAAAATCGATAATATAAAATCAATCTTGATAATCAATGTTCTTATAGACAATATTAATTGATTTATAAAGATCATATTTATTCCATAGTTCCAAGCTTTACACGGTCTACTGTAGGAACAACTCATCGACATGCGATTGTATTTACAGAGCCATGGGAAGAATTTTATGAATTAAATGTAGAGTAAAGCATGTTCCAATGTAAATGTAAAATTTCATATATAAATATAATATTAACTTCTCGTTAGGAGATGAAATGAACGAACAAATTTTGTAAACTTACTGGTCTCCGGTTCTGTGGCTGGAAGAGGACCCACATTTCCGAAAAATCTTTGATCCAACAATTGAAGAAGTTGGAGAGCTGCATCATGAACAGGGGCACGAGGACAACCCGTACTCATTAGAGTAACATTGATGATGCTTGTGTAATGATCACAAGGATACTCTCTATAAATATTAGATATTTCTTGTTATATTTATATACTAAAAGAAAGACCAAATCTTTTTGTACTCTCTTATAATTTAATATGTTTAAAAATAAATTTTTCATAATTTGAAGTATTTTAATAATTAAATGTGTAATATATCATTAACCTTGCACTAAAAATTGTCGCTAAAGCAAGGAAACAACCATCAGCGACTTGTGAAGCACCAGTGTAACATCGATCGACTACCCAATCAAGAAGTGTTCCAATATCGGGATTGCATTCTAACAATAAAACTACTGTTTCCCGAGCAAGAGCATAGATCTGAAATAATTTTTCAATATGTAAAATCTTTGAAAGTATCTATATCAAACATATATTTTGTTAAGTTTACTTTTTCGTCTTTGCTTGCCAGTAATAAATCTAGCCACTGATAAAGTATTGCTCCTTCTTCTGAAAGTGATTGCGGATTAAAACAAGGACCGCAGCATAATAGTCCGCTCATAGCTTGTAGCGCTGAAAGTTGTAATTCTGTATATGATTTTTCTTCTTCGTGGAGCGAAGATGTACTTGCAAGCGGTCTTCCATAGGGGCCTGACCAACTAGCAAATAGCATAAATAAATTCCGTCTTAAGTCCCTTTTTAACAATGTATGACATGTTTCCACTAAAATACAAGAAATATAAATTAGTCAAAATATTTATTATAAATATTTTTATATATATAAAATACTTACATGAAAAACTCTTGATCATTTTTCTTATGAAATTACAGAAATGCAATTTGATATCACGAACTGCAGGAGCTTCTTTATCGGTTTCATTCTCTAGATACAAACGGGCACCATCGATATATTCGACAAATGTTGGATGAAGCGATTGTGTTTCTCGATCTAATACCGCAGGACTATAAAGATATATAAAGTTTAATAAAAGGTTCATTGTTAATCTTGTTAAAAAAATCAATTACTAACCAAATACCAAACGTTCCATATTCAGCAATCAGTTCTAATACTCTTACTAGTTGCAATCTCAACGCATCCCTTCGCCTTCTTCGTCTCATATTTTCTTGTTTACGATCAACTGCTTCCCGAATATAAGGAACTAATTCTTCCATTAAATCTCTGAAGATAATGATCATTAATAAAGATGCTCTATGCGGAAAAATCTATATATTTACTTACTTCAACGCATCAGCGTTTACTTTTCCAATTGCTTGTACAGCAGCATCTCTAACATCCACTACCTCACATCTTAACAAAGGTACTGTTAATTTATATAAAGCTGCAGGACTTGCATTTGTACCGGGTGATTTGTTATCACCTCGTTCGGCAGACAGACTATCCGGCGATGAGCTATGAGAATATTCAAATTTTTCTTATATTAAACTTTTCGCACATTGATCTGTTACAAACATGTAAATCGTGCGCGACTGAGAAGTTTAACTTCCAATTAAAGCAATCGGGAACGGTCGTAAGGCTAGATAGAGATAGTAAATAAAAGATATATATATATATATATATATATATATATATATATATACACATATACATATATATGTATATACAGATTCGTGTTAGCGGTTTGATCAAAGAGCTAAGAAACTTGCAAATAAAGAAAATAGTCTCGTAAAAAGATTGTGCAAATTACCAACGACCGTTTAATCCCGGGTGACTTCGAAGCATCGTCGTTCGCTACGGTTAATTAGGCTCACCTGGTCCGCTTATGCCTGGTGTAGATGCCGGAAATGGACGGAACAGAGAAGCGACCCGGTAGGGTCTGTGCCCCACCGAGATTCTCCAGGCTCTGACTCAACTCCTTACTCATGCACAACACACCAAACTCCACCGTATGCTGACCACTAGAGTATGCAATACAGTGTACCACCAATGCTCCTTGTATCAGACATTATTTACTGCTCAGAAACTACTACTCTAAGATCCAAATGTACATGTGCGAGACAATGACGAGTGGCATGCAAGGTAAAGAATGTTACAGAAAACTAAAGCGAAGAGATATGCGTTCAAGAAAAAATATGCAAAATTGTATCCCGCTCCCGAGTGCAAAGCACGTCTTGGTAAAAATTGGTGCTCTTCTAATTTGTATAAAACACCTTGTTGTTACTAACACAACAGTAGAATCCTAGAGGTGATAATGTGCATAGTTCGTGTGAAATTAGACAATCTTGCAATGTATCAGACGTTAGGAATATAGATGCCACGTGCGTGTCACAATAGGATATGCATAAAGAATTATATGACTGACAGAGTGCTACATTTCAATTTCAATTTGTATTGTTTATGACAAATAAACATCGAATATTTCCGTGGTACACAACAGACATAAGCAGACACGATCCCACACCAATTAATATCAAATAATATTAATTCCACCTGATAATCCAATGTTTTATACACGCCTAAAGCTCTATTGATTGAACTATAAACTGCATCATTTAATATATAATTTTGAATTTGATACTGATTTGTGCACATAATATGAGTTCAGAATTATGTAATCAATACACCACTAAACAATATGTTGATCTCTTACATTCTAATATAACGTTTACAATGTATTTTAAATAATAATATAAAATGGTAGATTATGAGACTAATGTTTCTATAATGATATTTAAATACGAACTTACCTTAGGCTGAGATCTGGACTTGCACATCGTACAACAGGGCTTGGCACTGGTGGAACGACTCTGTATCCAAAAGTTAAATAATTTTTCCACACATGCATGTACATATCTCTCTCATTCACAGGTTTTCGGACTGCAGTTGAACTTCTTAAGAGAGAAGCTCTATTGTCATTCACAGGTCTAAAAAATTAAAGATAAATATTTTTACTTTTCTACAATTATAAATAAATACATACTGTTATACGTATGTATAGGTAGATATGTATGTATTAGTAGAATTTATAAACTTACGTAGGATCAATTACTGAGAAAAGTGAATTTATCCGAGTAAAAACGATAGGCCACGAATGTGCAACAGCAGTGGGACATAGTGTTAGTACTCTATCTTTTTCTAAAAATGCAAACAAACAACTTCCCCATGGATCTGCTCCATTCAAATTTAAAGAAGAAGAACTTTTTGTACTAGTATCATCATGAAGACCTGTAATTTTACATTATGTATTAGAAAAATTTACATAAATAAATAAAATGATAAAAATGAATTTTTTTAGCCATCATCACCTGCTGTCCATACACAACTACTTCTTTCAGCTATCCACTGAAGATCAACATTAGAAGTAGAAGCTGCTGCTGCTTTTTCAGCAGGTGGCAACATATGATAACATTTTTCCAGAACTGTTGGACAACAAGTGTCTATTACATCGATCACAGGTTGATCATCTTCTAAGCCTCCTAAAATGAGATAAATGTTTATTTAGTATTTAATATTTTTAATATTTTATGTGTATATTATATATTTTACTGTAATTACTTACCCAATGTTTTTAATAAATGTTTAACTTCACGTAATATATGAACTGCTATTCTTCTAGGATAAAGGCGACAGTTACAAAGCGTAACCAACGCAAATCCTTCCACTAAATGGAAAACGCTGGAAACAGGTTCTATCTTTTGTCCTGATTCACTTTTTTTTATGTTACTATCTACACGTATATTGTTTCTGGCATTATCCATTGATTGTTCCTTAGACCTTATACTAGGACTTGTTAGTGCATTTTTCCAACTTGTTAGAAGTTGTAAAAGCATTCTCAAACCATTATCAACAAGTTGTGGAAAAGTATCTTGAACATCTCTAGCAAGAAACTGTGTAAATCCAAGAACAACATCTTGCCTCCAATCAGGGAAGTCTAATACTAAGGTTTGTAGACTTTGATATGCTAATCCACGAAGCTCTTCATCCATGTGAACAGTTAAACGTGATAATAAATCAACTAATTCAGCACCTGTCATCCCATCAGGTATTAAACGAGGAACTGCAGCAACACAAGTTCGAAAAAGATCTATTCTGGGTTTTCGTTCTCCAGTAATCATTTCATCCGGCTCCTTATTCATATTTTGAGTACTTGTCATCATAAGAGGCCTGCCATAGTGAACATCCAAAGCACGTAGAATATCAACAAATACTCGTCGAACATGTGGAAAATACGATGACATTCCTATACTTCTTGCAGTATCTTCTGTTAACATCTAAATTTTATAAAATTTTATAAAATTTTTTGGAAATACATAATTAATTATTTAAACTACATATAAAATAATTTATCACTCTTACTTTATTAAGAAATGTTTTTTTAACTCGCATAGTATTACCGCTTGGTAATACTCCCATCGTACGCGGCATAGGTGGTTCTCCTTCTTTCTGCTGCAAACTATCAGCTACAACCAGGAAGGCCCGAAGTCCAATACTCATACGTTCAGGAGTTAAAATTATTTTCACTGGTCTGCCCACGGATAACAAATCAAATACTATTTCTCGCATTGCAAAATCTAATCTCTCTTGTGCAATGAATTGAATGATTTTTACAAAAATATTTAGTGGAGTGTCGCGTGGTACTACTGCCTTTGAACCCTTTGGAAACAAAGAATTTACTATGCTCTGTAATCTACTTTGAGTAGCTGAATTACTCTCGCATTTAATACGTATCATGTATACCCAAAGTAAACGATATAGCGCCTCTGAAAGATAATATTATACATTATATAGAATTAGTAATATATTATATAGAAAAATGTATAGAATGTTTGAATATAATATGAAATTAATTTAAATATAAAAGATTTACATACCCAAAGCAACACGACACATTTTAGGATCTCGATTTTTCAAATGTGAAAGACACATTGCTAAAAAGTAATGCCAATTTTGCAAGAAAAATGTTTTCTGACTGACACATAATAAACAAGTTACAAGAGGAAAAAGGGCTAATCTATGTTTTGATTTTGTACACATATCTAATGTTGTAGAGTATAACATCTCTACAAAATTCTTTAGACAGGGTACATTAACTTCATTTTTAACAGCCTAAAATATAAAATTAATATTATTCATATATATTATGACTTTAATATAGGTATTAATTGATATAGTGCGCAACAAATTTACAGCAGCAACAGGAACAAGTATTTCAACGAAAAGTCCAGCCAAAGCATGTTTTACATCTTTATCTTTTACTTCCAAAAAATATTGTGCACATTCTTGCATAAACTGAAATGAGGCCTCAAATTCTTCTATTGGTACCATCTACAAGTTAATACGTATATACATATATAAATTCATATAAATATTATTATATGAATAAAAATATTTTTAAATAATTTCTGTTTTCAAATTACTTTTACTCTAAAAAATTTCATTCCCATTAATAACGAAATAATGCTCTGTGTTGTATGGGGTCCTGGTTCTTTAGCACGTAATTCTTTTAGTTCGACCATGAAACGTTTCCTCACTGACATAAATCGAGATTGTGCAAGAACTCCTATTACTTCTGCATAAAGATCAGCAATGATATGAATGTTTGCTGCATTTGGTTCATTTTGAATTCTGTAACACAATTTTAACCTTGTACAAAATAGTCTAATATATCAACTTTAAGTCTACTATTTCTCACCCTTCTCTATATTTGAAGTGTTTAAAAGCTATATTTTCTATGTAAGTCACTAAATCCTCATGGCCAGGATGAAATGGTAATTGACGTAAAACTTCTATTAACATTAAGCAAAATATAAATTCTACTGCAAGATCCCTTCGTTCTTGAAGTAAATCTGCTTCACTTCTTTCAACTGTTTCTACACTTCCTGATACTATTGTATACATAATGCTGAAATATAATATTTATAACATTTACAATTTTTATAACTTTAATATGATAACAACAAGAACCACAATAACAATAATAATGGTAATTATAACACATTTTTACCTTTTTCCTTTCTGATCTTCTTTTCCAGGAGCAGGCTTTCTTTGATCACTACCTTGATCAATTAATTGACGTTCATACCAGTTAAAAAGTGCTCTTAAAATAGAAGGTAAACAATGTTCTGCAACTGAACCAAATGCAGATAATAACTGATCAAATTGTGGATCTTCACCTCTTTGTAAAACTTTCGAAAGTGGTTTTTCCTGTAATATACCCACTATCAGAAACTCGTTTTGTCTAAAATAATGAAATTATTTACATGTTCTGTCATCACTGCTTCCATCTTTTTTTCTGCTTGAGTAGTAAACTCTGCAAATAAAGTACGCATCACAAATTCTCCAGGTCTTAAATCCATATCTCCTATTTGTTGTGGTTTCACTGTCTCTTTCTGAGCACCCCAAGGTAATACAACAGTTATTGCACTCACTCTACTGGAACTTGATTCTGAGAAAATGAATATAAATTTATATTTATATTTCTTTAGCTCATATAGTTATATGAGTTGCATGTTTACCATTGCCAGAAACTGAAGTACTAGCAGTATGAATGCTAACAGCATCACTACTTTCTCCTTGCGTTGCTCCATGAACAGTAAGTAAATCTTGATTTGGTTCAGGTACACTTTGAGATGATTCTGCTGCTGCTTCATGTAATCCTTCGCCATGTATGGCCCTGGCTTCAGAGGCTTCTGATAAGAATGAAAAGTTTACTCATTGAAATTTTTATATGAACTAATAAAATAAAGAACTATAAAAATATACAGTGTTTTAAATACAAATATTTTGTTTGATGTTTATCTCTAGAAGCTACTACTACAAGAATATTTTTAGTTCTAACACTATTAATTCTGCATGATGGCAGAGGCTAATAGATGAAGCCCCATTCTGTAACGTAACAGATACCCACAATGAACACTAACTTAATTATATTAGACTTGATAGCTACATTTTCTATGCATGGAAATTTGAAAAATCTGATATATATAAAGAATCGATGACAAAGATATAAGCATACCAGGTTGTGCCTCATTTCCAGGAGTTGGCTGTGTTTCACTTCCTAAAATAACATTTAAGTTATTTTATTATAATTTAGATAAATATACATTTAAATATAAAATAAATGTTATATATTCAATTTAGGAAATAATAAGCTATAAATATCACATTTACTAACCTTCTGTCATATTGTTTATATATGCCTTGCTTTCAGGCAACATTAATACATACTAATGTCATACTGCAGATATATATATAATATTTTCGTTCTAAAACAATAAAGAAACTATATTATACAAGACAGCTTTTGTAATATTTACTTCTTCCAAAAAGAAGAAACATAGAAAAGAAATTAAATAGATATACACACATATATTTACTCCATTCATTCATATATTAAATTGACATTTGATATCATGACGCTAATATATATATATATATATATATATATATATATATATATATATATATATAAATTTTCTAACAATGTTTATACAATAACGTTGGAATTAAAAATAAGGTAATTATATTTTTATTTCTTCACAAATGTATTATAATATTCTAATATTTTAATTTTTTTATCTGCACAAAGTAGCACTATAAAATATACAAACAATTAAAATTATTTATTTAAAGCGCAATTAAAGGAATATTACGGGAAGCCATAACCTGAGACGAAAAGTGACATGACTATAAACTGATAAAACAATACAAAAAATTTCATTACAACTATCATTATTATTAGACAACCACTACATGATTGAAAATTATAAATAAGAAATGTGTTATTTACCGCAAAATGCCGTAAAATCTTAATTTGATTCTAAGTCTGACGTTTTATAAATGTCCGGCTTGATTCGTGTGTATTCTTCACAGTTTCATATTCCACACGTTCCTTCATTTAACATACTTTTCAATATTCCACTAGAGAGTATTAAATCTAATTATTTATTTCAAAAATTTGTCAAAAACTGTGTATATATATATATATATACTTTACATCTAAAATACAAGATTCATAATTATATAATCTATATTTTCCAATTTGAGTATATACCTTAATTGTATGGCGTAAGTATAATAAAATATTTAATTTATTACTACTCCTAATGTGATTTTACTTTATATTAAATTAGATTTATTCCACTGTAGATGCAGTGGATACTGTATAATGCTACAGAAACCGTAGAATAAATTGTTAATAGCTTCCTGTGCGTAAAATGACCCTGACAATGAAGCACTTTGAATATGCCATTCAGTCCAAGTTAATCACTTAAAAGAAGTTTCCTAGAATTTTTCTGTTTTCTGCAATAAATATAATATTTTAATAAACTTTATTAAAAATATTTAATTTATTTACTTAACTCTCTTTATTTGGATCGGATAGAGAAACATCAAAATTTTATTTTATGTAATCGATGTATTATGCAATTAGAAATATCATTCATATTTATTTTTATGTAATTAATAATAGACGTCCTTTTCGAAACTCAAGAAGGATACATTTGCATTTGTATATTCATACAGCATATTATTATTCGCATAAATCTATACGTACATCATTTTGTATATGTCTAAATCTTGTGAGTGCCTAATCCCTATCAAGTAATGAAACCGCTTCGAACTGCTTTCAGGTGCATTGACTTCAGTTATTGCACTATACGCAGACAGCCGCATACGTCATCAAGGTCGTCATTTAATCCAATCCATACACTTAAGTTCCACGTTGCAAGTTCGATATAATGTATTTGAGCTTGTAATCGCGTGTTAAATTCTCATCTATTTAACAGAATGATATCAAATGTCATTTCCTACTTGAATAAGAAAAATCATAAATTCCACAATTTATTTCATTCGTGCAATTTTAATAGACTTTTTTCATTAATATTATAGATTTGATATTGGTTATGTAATGTGATTTGCAATCTAGGAAGTACATTATGTATATAATTAAATTAATTTTTTATGTATGTAGTATACACAATCAAATTAGTGATGATAAAGCATAATATTAATTACACCAGTCGTTCCGCTCATAATTTCGCGAAAATTATCATAAGAACATATCATAATTCTCTGTGAATCAAGAAAAATAAGTTAGTAATATGATAGAATTAGACATAAATATAGACAAATATTTTAGTATAAAAATAAACGATACTATATCTAAAAATTTTTTAAGTCCTATCACAGAGATAGGGAGAGGTCTGTTACTTAATAATGATATGAATTATGATTATATGTTATTTATAGTATTCTCTCTTTTTTTTAATTGTCATCCAATTATTTATCTAATTAGAAACAGAACAAATGACTGTCATGTACAACAAACATTCTTAAATGTTTAAACAAATATATCAGAAATAGAAATTTACACGAAAGTACAAAACCATTTGTAAGATACAGTCGATTACCAGCATTACAATTACAGAAACGTGGTACTATATTAACGTAATTAATTTTCATAATAAATACTTGCATGCGCAATGAAATTTCCTTCAGACAAAGAACAATTTTAGCATTAGTCTATTCTTTACAAGGTCCACTGCGTATGTACACATCTTCAAGGTGTATAAATACACTTTACTTGAAGTTACTCCATTGAACTCTGGCGTTGTGCTCTGTAACATACTGGCTGTACGCCAGGGTTACGCAAGTCGCGCCCCGTTGACCTCCTTCTTCACGAGAAATTGACCTTATATCTCGTTCTTGTATCTTAAACAGCGCAAACTCAAAATTATCCTAAAAACGATCATGGGACAACACGTGTACTTTATCACAATTGTACTTACTGTAATCCTTTATTTGTATTAATACATGAAAATATGAAGTTAATAATAAATGTTCTTATCAATGAGAATATAATTTGAGCCATGTATTTACAGTACACGCATAATCGATACCATAGACTGCAAAGACAATGATCGATTGGTACCGTAAAGTAATATCTATCTCAAATCGGAGAGAGTCGTATTAAATTGTAGAGAACTCGATCAGCCATTATTCTCGACATAATGCTTTTTTTCTTTTTTCCTTAGATACGGTTCTCTTCAGTTTTATAAATTGCACCTGTAATTGTTTGAACAGTTACTAGTTGTTCCTAATTGCAAATTGTACTTTATTTCAAATATGCACACAATTTTTCTGATATTGCTTACTTATTGATAATTTGTACAATCATCTATGAATCAAGATTTCAAAAGTGACTATTGCTATATTTCTTTTTTAGTAAATGTTAAAGATTTTAAGTTAGTTTATATTTATAGAAATATATTAAAAATATATTAATATTACTTATTTTTGTTAATTCGTTGTGATGTCCATGTTTGGCATTAATCTAATTGTAATTCTAAAATGCGGAAGTAAATTTAGCATAGCATGTGAAATATTATTTTTGTAGAAATAAGTTCCCGCCAAGTTGTTTCGTATTTTGAATATCTTGACACTAGCGACAATTTCCATAGGTTCATTACCGGAAGTGCGTCATAAGCGCGGTTAAACATCTAATTTTGAAACGGCTAGCCGTGAACGCATTCTGTTAAGTTGATATACACGTGGTGACCGTGAAAAAGAAACGAGAAAGCATAGTGTCGCAAGATATGAGAGAAAGGTCACGAATTCGGGAACAGAGTACGCGTTCGAAGTGCATGAAGTGTCAGGGTCTCAAGGTGCGGCCGTGCCAGAAGATTGAACCTGCGCAGAACTCTGCACGTGACCTGCGCAGCTATTCTTAGCGGAGGTCCGTTTAACGAAAGGAACTCTGCCTCGCTCACTCGTCGTCCGGCGCGCGTCCGAAACGTAGAAGTTGGTTTCTCCTCTTTATTTTGTTAACCCGTTTTCACACACTAACTACCCGAAACAATATGTCTGGTCTTGCGGATCCAGTGGCATTCGTCAAGGATTTCGTGGCTGGTGGTGTGGCCGCCGCGATCTCGAAAACGGCGGTCGCCCCTATTGAACGTGTGAAACTGTTGCTGCAGGTACAGCATATCTCCAAGCAAATTCCCGAAGATCAACGTTACAAGGGTAAGTTACTTAATGGAGCATTTACCTTTGTTCAATAATTTAAGGAAAATTGACAAAGGCAGGTTACGAAGCATGCAAGTAACAACCATCAACCATTGTACAGTATCACATAACAGTAGAATAATGATGTATGAAACATGTGATAGAAAGCATTTCGTGTCGACATTCTCAAATTCCCAAGCGTTTCCGCTACGTTTCTTCGCAGCGGTTAGGATTGAGATTCCCGTTATGTAATATCAATTTATGTTATACGTTAATGGTACATCAGTACTATCTGGTTCTAATTTTTCTCCCTCATCTAATAAAGATAAAGTTTTGGATTTTACATAACTTTTGCGATATCGATTGAATAGTGAGAAGTCGTGGTTTTCTGACAAATGAATGGATCGATATACGATAAAATAACTTGTCTACCAGATGGCAGTGCATGGGTTTGCTCTTTGAACGAAACTCCCAAGTGCCGATCGATGACTAGCTATTCAACATGGCTGCCTTTATGATAGAAAGCAGTCTTATACTTGAATCTTTTTCCAAAGTCTCAGTTTTTGACATGCAACAATGAAGAATTAAATTTATGCTTATGAAAATGTAATCTATTATATTCGATGGAATATTCAATATAAATATTAAAAATAAATAATATTTCATTTAAAGAATAGAAAAAAGAAACCACAAATATGTATATCAAATTGCACACATTTAAACGTGGAATTATTTTGCTAACGAATATGTAATGATTTTTTAACAATACATAATTGTAGTTTTATAATAAACATCTAAGGAATTAATATTAACTTATATAATATTTAAGTCGTATTAAAATAATATATATAATTTCATGACCTTGAGTATGTCTCAATTAGAAAGATATCAGAAAGATATCTTTTCAAAAATTTCTATTATATCAGTGTGTTTTAACTGTAAATAATTAAGATAATCTTATATATTTGAAAATATAAAATATACATAATTAAAAATTTCTAGTTGTCAATAATCTATTACATAACAACCTGCAATGCAGTATATGATAAAGTTTATAGAATTTTTAAATTACACATTTAGATATTACAATGTGGAGATTTAAGAATTTCTAGGAAAGATCTAGATACTTTTAATAAATGAAAAAGTAATTGATCTTGTCACTTGCTTGTACAAACTGTAATATGTAAAAACAATTACAATTATATTTTTATCCTATTCTAGGTATGGTTGATTGCTTTGTGCGCATTCCAAAAGAACAAGGATTCACGAGTTACTGGCGTGGTAACTTGGCCAATGTCATCAGATATTTCCCTACACAAGCTTTAAACTTTGCCTTCAAAGACAAATATAAGCAAATTTTCCTTGGAGGTGTTGACAAAAACACACAATTTTTACGTTATTTCATTGGAAACTTGGCCTCTGGTGGTGCTGCTGGTGCCACATCTCTGTGCTTTGTCTATCCTCTTGACTTTGCCAGAACTAGGTATTTCATGTTTAATAATTACCATTTATATTTAATCATTAATTAGATGTAGATAAAATTTTATATACAATTCTTTGTAATTGTTACATACAGGTTGGCAGCTGATGTAGGCAAAGGCTCAGGAGAACGTGAATTCAGTGGTCTTGGTAACTGTCTAACGAAGATTTTCAAAACTGATGGTATCTCTGGCCTTTACCGTGGTTTCGGCGTATCCGTCCAGGGCATCATCATTTATCGTGCTTCTTATTTCGGTTTCTATGACACTGCCCGCGGTATGCTGCCTGATCCCAAAAAGACACCATTCCTTGTTTCCTGGGGTATTGCTCAGGTATGATATTTACTATAATCTATCTTAATATTAAAATTTTCTTGATACAATTATAATTCGTTTACTAATACTCTCCGTAATGTTTTACAGGTTGTTACAACTGTCGCTGGTATTGTTTCTTATCCGTTTGACACAGTACGTAGGCGTATGATGATGCAGTCTGGTCGCGCTAAAACTGAAATTTTGTACAAGAGCACTCTTCACTGCTGGGCTACTATTTACAAGACAGAAGGTGGAAACGCTTTCTTCAAGGGAGCATTCTCCAACGTTCTTCGTGGTACAGGTGGTGCACTTGTATTGGTACTTTATGATGAAATTAAGAATCTCCTGTAAGGCATAACAATCCTCACCTCATTACCTTCACAACTACAGTTGCAAGTACCATCTTTATTACCCTCACCATCCGACGTAACAATAGATAAAGTGATTTCCAGAATAAAACAATATCCGAACTGTCGAGAAATTTAAGAACAATTTAGAATGTAATCTTTTGGTAGCATCTTGTGAAATGCTTCAAACTCGACAGTTTAATTTATTGCCGGATTCAGTATTTTCTTGCAGCGGTTCACATGTGTTATATTTCATAATTCATTTTCGTAAGAAAGAACAAAGTGACTTATCAACGTAATGGATATATGAAATGTTTGATACATGTGACTATGTAGGCGATGGTCGGGATATAAAGTAGTAAAAATAATTATCTAAAAAAAAAAAAAAGAGAAGAACAAAAATAAGCGTATACAATTGAGCAAGAGAAGGACGCGCGACGAAATACCATTACGGCGATGGCGGGGCGCGTAGACTTGGGCCGCCCCCCGCACTTATTCTCGGCCCGTTGTAGATAATAAATGATCATATTAACGATATCAGTGAAGTTCATCGAGTTTCAATGAACACTAATTTAATTTCGCACTCCAGACAACTACGTGTAAGATAATGAGAAGCGTTACTTGTAAGTGTATGCATCCAATGTGTTCATGTTAGGATGCGTGCAAAGAAAAAAACAAAATCAATAAAAGTAATAATAAAATTTGTTTTGAAATTTTTTCCACGTACCATAAATTTATCATTTTAATTTTATTTTGATAATGTTTTAGTTTCATAATTTACAAAATAATTGTAATAAATTTTGAATTGTTATTTATTAAATTGATGTACTAGAAATAAATGTACATATGCTTTTATATAGTAAAATTATATTTTCATGAAGGAATAGTGACATGCACGTGTTATATTTCATTTTTCATACAATATATCATTATTACAAACACTCCAAATACAAAGTAAAAGTCTTACTTTTACTTTCATTAATATACTGATACAAATTAATTTATAATTAATTTTAATGATAATTTTAAACAAAAATATTTCTTTAATTTTGATTTCCAACTTGCTTAAAAGGTTGTAATATTTTGGAATGTTAAAACACATATAATCCCTGCAGCAATACAGTAGTTTATATGAAAATGAGAAATCTATATATTATTTCTATACGGTATTTCTAAATTGAACATATAGAAGATAAAACTTGAACTTTGTTTACATATGACATTTATACAATACAAAAAGAGATCTGAAAAATTTCAGAAGGAAAATTTGGCTCAATATAAAATAGTGGATCTTATATACAATGATTTGTGTGATCATATCGAGAAACATATCATACAGTTGTTCTATTTGGATCTCCTGCAATCGAATCTAATATTCGAGATATACCTGGTAAATTTAAAATGATTTTTAAACCAGGTACCTTCCGTAAAACATTTATTGCAACTGGGAGGAAACCACTGCAAAATTAATATTAAAAACTTGAACAATTGCATAAATAAAAATATGTGATAACAGAATAAATGTTATATATACCTGAATAATAATATAAAACCATAGGTTTCTATGATCATGCCTACAATAGGCCAACCCATAAGAACTACAATAATGCCTCCTAAAAATGAAGCACTAGCTTTTATCTTGTGTCTTTGAAAAAAAAAGCTGAGAGTTCTCTTTGGTCCAATAACACATGCTAATCCAGATATAAATAAAATCTATATAAAAATAATTAATTCATGGTGATGTAGTAATGTAGATTATATATTAAAGTTTTTATAAATGTACAAGAACAATTCTTACGTTTCCAATAGCAAGAAGACCTTTATCAAAGAGTAACAAGACTCCAAGGAAAAGAAATGATATACCAAATCCCACAAGTCCGACTCCGATTTCTGAAATCAATATTTAATTGTTATACAGTGTTTTGAAATTCATGTTCTGTCTCGTGTTTGTAAATGTTACCGATCATTGATTTTTATAAGTTATAAAATAAATATTTACTACTTACTTTGCGTATCTGAAACTTCGAACATTATTTGTGACTTGTTGTTTTACAATGAAGTCTTAAATTATTTTTGTGATAATATTTTCATAAGATTCAGGTAACAATTGTAACGTTGTGCATAACCTAACCTAAATCCACGTCATTAATTGTGATGTGACACTTTCCAACTAAGCACTATTTTTGGTCACCTTGTAAAAATTGTATATTGAATACTGTATATATCTTTTAACCACCTTAGCATTATTTTTACAGAATTTAAATATGTTCAATACTTTTTAGTAAAGTGAATGCCATCGTACTATGTATATGTGTGCGTGCATACTTCATATCCCCGGATTGTCATCGATTCTATTCATATCTTTTACTATATATGATCTTTCAATTGGAATACATTTTAGAAATTAGATTTGGTAAAACATAAAATTTATAATAATAAAATTAGTAATGTTAGATATTTTATGTTATTTAATAATTTCCAATAAGAACTTTTCCAGTTATTTTTTTCTTTTATGAAAAATTTTACTTTGAACAAATTTGTATCATTCAGTTAAAATCTTATACATATGATACGTTACGAACTTTATTATTAATATTATACTTAGTATATAATTTGATGGAAAGCCTATTTATAATTATTTATTTTGGAAAAAAGGGTTGTACAAAATAAATTTAACTTTATTATCCAGTACGAATTTTTTATACAAACAACATATAATACATTTATAATGTTTAATCAGATGAAGGAATGATGAGATTGCTAATGGCGGGAATAATGGTATTATTTTACAAACAGCACAAAAAATAGACTCAATCATTAACCGTTAATATGGCTAAACCTTAAGTCTATATACGACGTAAAAAACATTATTTACAAGTATTCTAAGGTACACATATGTTCAGCACATCAAAGATGATCTGAGCCACTAAAAATAAATAATATTTTATATAACTTAATTTTTTGTATTTAAATTAAATAAAATTTATATGTAACGCATACCTCAGTTAAACTTAATTTTATGGTCCCATTTTGTAAAGGATCTTTACTTTCGAATATTCCTGTAAAATAAATTTGAATATCAGCGTATGAATAGCATATAGAAAAGAGAGGCAAAGACTTAAAGTATAGATACCAAATGCGTCACTCAAGTGCAATATTGCCGAGACGAAGTCGCCAAATCGGAGTGTACCATCTTTTCTCATATATCGAAGAATTAAAATTGAGAGTACATCCGTATTTAATTGGAATCCTAACAGAAATATTATTCGTATGTTAGAAATATGAATAAATGTAAATATCAAGCATTGGTAAATAATCTACTTACCCACTTCTAATAACGCGTCTCGTAATCGTTCTGCTTTAAGTATACCAGTTTTTTCCTTCGTGTGATTTTTGAATGCTGCTTGCCAGTATTTTAAACTGCACATAAGATCCTTGAAGTCATTGAATTTCAATCGACCGCTACCAGAGCTCTATGTTAATATTTTGATATAAGGAAAATCAGCAAATTTCAAACGCGTGATTAAAAAGATTAAAATAATTAATTTCAAGGATACATCCATTGTAAGTACTACCTGTCGACATACTTCCATAGAAGCACAGCTTTTTATGTAATCTATAAATGGAAAATAATGATTTATTAAGTAATTTCGAAAGAATCGATTAATTTATTTTTTATTACAATTTTAAGTAATATGAAATTTTACCATTCGGTAAACAAGCTTCGAGAAGTTCTTGCAATTCAAAAGCATTTACGGTTCTGTGTTCATCAGCAAGTTGTAGGAAAACGGCTTCATACTGCGAGAAACCTTTGCCTTCGAGAGGTGGTGCTTTGATGATCGTCGACTTTACTAGAGATGGCGGTGTATCGAGAAGTCTAATAAAATCATTATATGTATAGAATGGAATTACATTCTTAAGTAATCTTAATATTAAAATTACTTACTTGAGTTTCAAAGGCTTACTACTATAGACTCGCAATGTAAAACTTGTTTCTTGGGTAGGTTCAAAAGTAGTGGGTACTAACAGATAGCCACCCTGATCTAATTGACATCTGTGGCTCACCTGACGACTGTTGGTATACTGCGAGTTTACCAAAGATTTATTTTTTTTGAAAAACTGTTTGTTTATCGATTCGGTGTTATTTTTTGGCAAAGTATATGCTGTGAAGCCTATTACCTTAAATAGTAAAAATTTTCAACAATCATAATTAGTAAAATTTTCAATGTATAGGATACACATATAAAACTACAAAATATGTTTCTTACTTTTATCTCCATAATAGAGTGTTGATACAAAGAAACAATTACTTCTTCCATTTCGCTTAGGATTAAATGTAATTGTGGATTAATATGAAAAGTTTCTGCAACATAGATAAGCTTATAGAATCGAAGGACACTTATCGTAATTTTAATAAGTGCTTACGTTACGTATTACCGGATTTCCGTTGTAAAACGTTCATCATTGGAGTAAACCGCGTACGAACCTTCATTGTTTCGACATCCTCCCGCGGTTACGCCTCTCCTCCAGCTACCTTGATAGAGTTTCATCTGCCAGGTATGTTTGCTATGCAACGATGGCTCATCCCTCGACGTTTCGGCATCAAGATGTACAACTTCTAAATGAGTGAATGTCTTCACGAAATCTGAATACGATATCCTACAATTCATGTAACTTTTGTTAATTATTCCTATTCGCACATCTGTAATACTTATTATAATATTTAATAGTTATTGTGCAACTATAAATTTTAATAAGATGTATTTAAATAAAACGCCAAAACTTGTTTTATGAATTAAGACATTATTATAATTAGCTCACCAGAATTCTCCCTCGGCCATGTTTCTGACCGCTAAACGATCCCTTTCCATTGGTGGTACTTCATCCCATTCAAGACCACCTCTTGCCCAAGCGCCAACATACTCCCTACCAGGTCCAAGAGGATTTCTTAATTTTACTAACTGAACCGCTTCACCGTTAAATGTTTCCACCTATATTTTATGCAACGATCCATCGTGAAGTACGAGTCGGAAGTAATCAAAATCATTGAATAATTATTATTTCTGGTAATTACCCTCTCAATAGCGTAGAGTCTGTAATTGATACCCATCTGAATACCATTGGCGAGTTTTTCTGTACTGGCACGAATCTTAAACAAAGTAAAAACAAATAATTTGGGATATATAATAACAAAATAATAAATATATAATAACAAAATAACTTGCAATAGTTTTACGAAGTAGATACAAGAAATCAATATTTTGTTTATTTAAAAGTTAATAAAAAATCGCTTACTTGCTGTTGATTGTTATTTACTGTACACGTGATAAGAGACGTCATATCAAGGAGTTTCGCAAGAACACGTCCACACGCTGTAGGATCCTGGCGTATCGCGATACTCTCTGTAATCCCTCCGGTGAGATCAGACAAACCATCCAACAGAGTTCCATACTTCAGAGCTTCATATGACCCATGCAATCTAGAATCAAAGAAAAAAAAATCAGTTTCTCCGTTTCGAGGTAACTTTCTTGGCTTAACAAGCGATCTTAACATTACAAATAGGGTATTCTTAACAAGCGATCTTAACATTACAAATCAAAGGTATGCGGGAAGTTCTATCTATCATTTGTTCAATTTCAACGAGTTGTCAGGGATTTCTATCCGCATCGTTGAAATGGTAGTGAAAACCCGTATCACAGGCGGTATTTTTCAAACGCAGGAATGCCGAGATTGGCACAGGGAAAGCTGATGTCGAGAATTTTTCGACCTGTGCGACCCTTTCTCGTCGATGATAAAGCAACTCTCGAGAAGCACCACGCGATCGCGATTTCTCGCGGATTCTTCATCGATTCCGCGAAGAAAGTTGAGTCGACGGCTCGTTAATCTCGCTCGCCACGCTACCGGAATAGTGGCTTTTGTTCCGCGAAGCGAACGTACGGGCTTGATTAAGTCAGCGTGCCAAGATTTCGTCTCAGAAATCATCGGTCGAGATAGAAAGGCGAGATCTTGCGCTAACTGATAAGCGGATAGGCGAGAAGGTAGCGATGCTATCTGCTTGAATGTGCCGTTCCTGCGAGAATTAGCGTTCTCTAGATAACGGGGTTTCTTTCTCTCGCTCTATCTTTGTCGACTGGCTCGTCCTAGTAACGCCAACGCCTCTTCTGCATCTACGTACGCCCGCTGCCGACTAGATAACAAGCTTTCCGCGCAGAGTGTACCATACGTCAGTATACAGGCGTTGGTATAAAGTTTATTATAGATTGAAAATTCCAAAATTAATAATATTTGAATCCACGTTTTATAATATGTAAGACTTTTTTTGTATTGTTTCGACGAGTATTATATACTTTCAATACAATTAACACCGAGTTTCTGAAACACTGTATACGTAGGCTAATCTCTAAACTGTAACCATTCACACGAGCTGTTCATCAAATAGTCACATGGGTATTTTCTCAGGGAAGACGACCAACAAACAGATCCGTTTTCCAATTGTGTGCCAGGTATGGGCTTTAGATTCGGTGTGTTCCGTAATTTGCCAGCGGCGGAAGTGGCAGGGACTCGGAAGTGGTCGCGAGGTTGTTGGTTCGCGGCCAGAATGCCAGTTCGAAGCGGGACGAGTTAACAGCGGCAAAGATCGGGCCTTTGGTTATTTTCACTGATCGAATTACGTTCCAAGGAAACGAATGCATCGTCGATTGAATTATATAGTTAAATTGAGCTGTTGATTTAGAGTAAGAGCGATTTGGAGTGGTCTATGATAAAGTTGAATTTAGAGGAAGTTTCAACGGGAGATGGACGAAACGATCGGTTAGACTGGAAGTTGTAGAAAGGAATGTGTAAAGCACGGTGTAAAGGTCACCGCGCCTTCGATTGAACACTCTGTTGACTATGTAACACCGCTGTCAGTTTGTAAGTCAACGGTAACACGAGTCTTGCCATTGACGTACATCCGTCCCGTGACTATCTAACGGAGTGATGAAGTCACATGCGGATGTGCAATGTCATTTGCAATTCTTTCGTGCGACTGTCGCATTACGATACTTCGAATGACATCCATAATACAGTGGCACACGGTAAAACAATTTCAAGATCGACGCAGATCGGTGTATGCGAGAGGCTACACGAAAGTCATGCATACGACTACTAACGGCTGCTTCGTTTTTTAGAAAATAAACTTGACTGATGTTCTATGAAAATTATTTTCTACGTTGTCCTAAATTTTAATGTTACTTCATTATCGAATAGATTAAAGATGAGTTTAATTAAAGGAATCGTTTTTCTAACTTAATTATTTCCTTCTCGTGTCAAACTGATCTTTCACATTTCTTTGTATCAAATTACGAATGAGAATCAACACTCGCGCGAGATATCAAAAACAGCAAGTTAAAAAGGAATGAACAAAACAAAATTAGTTCTGGGTACTCGGATAAGAGGAGCAACGAGTGCAGGTTTCTTTGTTTAGAGAAAGAGAGGTGCCAAATGTGCTCGTAATTAGCCTCAATACTGAAACGATTCACGAGGAAAAATGAGGAGCTTGTACGTTTGCCGTAGTCCCGTGGCATTAATAAATCGATAAGAATTTATTAAGAAATTCAGAGAATCATTAAGTAGATGAACTGTTAACGAGGCCCCTGTTTTCGATTGTCCATTAGCACGGTATATGCTTGCTGTAGCAGTTTCGTGGCCTCAGATACGAGCGTGGACTGTGGTCATCAGTGCACTGACCTCCGATCCATTGCTGGCAACCAACGAACCGACTACTCGTCGAGTGAAAGTATCCGCGGATATACTTGCTTAGTATATCCATGGTCGGCATGTGCATGCACAAATATACAGTACCGAATATAGCCCGGCATACCGTCGTATCCCGAAGCTATGTCGAATTCTGATTTCTCGTTGCTCGCACGCCAAAACAGTTGATCCCATCGCTGAAAATCTTGTTATCCGAATACCAACGCGGTGAATCATCGTCCTCGAGTTTGCATTTCACGGAGGGAAGGCTATTCGAACATTTACAACTGCATTACGAGCTACACTTTCTCTGTTTCGAAGTTTAAGTTCGTTGAATGTTCTACGTGTGTCATTGTCTATTTATTATTAAAATCAAATCGGTCAGAATCGAATCGGTGTGAATTCGTCCTTTCCTAATTGATAGTAGATATCTAGAAGTGGAAATTGGTTTGCACTTTCTTCTCAAACAAAAATCGATAGGTCATGTGTAAATAAACCTACTTTCTTTCGCGAAAAATCATGAGAATACGAAACCTGAATTTTAATTATTAGCGAAACGCAAAGTGTTTGCAAATGTATTACAAATCTCTACGTATAAACTGCGGATTTTTATTCACTTTTATCCTCTTCAAAGTATTTTTAATAATATCTAATAGATACAAGATTTCATTTTCTACCTAAATTCTATTTTCTTAATCTATGAGGAAATTAAAATATTAGGTTACATTTGTTGTCTATTTATGACTGCGTAACGAGAAAAATCTATCAAGATTAAATAATCTAGATCAAATATACCAATTCCGGTTATAACTATAAACAGGAAAATCGCGCTAATCATCTCGAAGAGGAGAAACCGAATCGCTTCTGACGAGTTGAAAAAGGAGTTAATTGCTCAGCGAAATCGTTACAGTTACAAAATAATTAGAACTAAAACGCGTATCGTAGGATTGGGGAATAACCAGTGAACAGATAATATGCGTTACTTAGCAACCTTCTCGGTTGCTTCGAGTATTGCGCGTGTTGGAACAGGCACTGGTTTCTAATGGAAATCGTGGAGAAGCGCGTCCAGCATAATTCTTTGGTTGGCTGTGCACGCGTTGGCATGCGAAACGTACGTACGAGCTTTCTAACTGATTTTAGTACAACCACCGGATTAATAAGCCTGGATGTGTATGGTACGTTCCGGATCGATAGGATCTATGCGACAGGGTTATCGTGAAAGAGGAAAGGTCGCAGAACCGAACGAACGCTTTTCTCCACGGGTGGAGAGAAGTGTGTCATCGGCATCGGCGAGATTCTCTCGAGGTTGGAGAACGCCTCTCTCTCTTTCTTCCTCTCTATCGCTCTCAGTATCGAATCGGAACGCGTGGAATACTAATTTCGTCGTCGTCAGAGAGTCATCAGCCAGTTTATCATTTCGGTGAATATTATCTGCCGTACGGGATCTTCACGTGCCCGCCAAATGAAACTGGATTTCAGGCCAATGTTAGCCAGATAATATCGATTTTTATAAAAATTGTGAATTTCCTTTTAGGAGGACTGTACGAAGAAAAAGATCGTTCGTTAGACACGGTTCGCTTGTACAATGTTCGATAGAGATCGCTATCGCTCGTAATTGCAGGAAATTAGATAAATAAATGAAAATATACGATATCGTAGCGAGATTTTAATTAATATCGGAATCTACATGATTCTGTTCTAATTAATAGTCGCTTGATGGAAATGTCTTATTAGCGTTTGCATAGAAGAAAATTTGGTAAGAATGTTCAGTAAATTGAACGTACGGTGTTGAGTTCGACGATAATCTGATGAAAACATCTTACAATTAGAAGTACTCATTCATACATATGTATATAGCAGTAAAATCACTTTGATCGTCTTAAAATTATCTTTTGAGCTATAAATAATCTTTATCTTTGATTAAAGTAACAAGCAAGTCATAACACTTCATAATATTATGTTTTCAATTATCGAATGATTTCCGTTTTACGCAAGTAAAATATTTGTTGGAAGAATGTAATTTCCATCCTCCTCGTAATTACCTAATTGATGATAAATATAAATTCTGATTTTAAAGGAAATGCCAAGAAACAACATACTTTTAAATACAATATGTAAAAATGATTCAATCCTCAATAATTTAATCCTAATAAGAGTTTATCTATGTTAACAAAAATCACGAATTCCATCGAATTACAAAGATCTTTTCATTTTCATATTTGTTACCGCTATTTTTAGTCCCTTTCTTCTCCAACAAACAGTAAATTACGAAAAATTTTAAAAAAACGATAGGGTTCACCGTCAGTGTCAATTAACCGTACGATTGTTCAATTATCTTTACGATTGCAATTGGGTTCGCAAGATCACTGACATATATTAATAAAAATTAATGATCGTTACCTATCAAGGAATAGATATTTTCAAACTTTCATCGTAAGGTCTACTGCAAAAGTCAATTGATGCCAATCACATTTTTAATACAAACGTAAAATATTATACGGTCACAATCGGTTATAGAAGCCAGTTGATTTCAAGCGATTCAGTGTTAATCGATTGCATCGTAAATTCAACGTAGAACGGAAGTCATCAAGTGACAGCAACGCACTATTAATTATTAATGAATCCTGACCTCGATTCCTTTGCCAGAAGTTATTGACCAGTATAATCGTCGCCATGTACAAACATTTTGTAAGCCACATTACGATACATCGTTCTCTCAGTGAATGTAATCGAACGAATCAAATTAATTGAAAAGAAATACTAATGTTTGGACCTGGATCAAACGATCGTTCGAAATTAATTTACGAAGAAATTTTTTATTATATTTGATTAAGTCATAACTTCACGATTCAATAAAGCTTTTCACGTAATATATTCTTTGGTTTGTTTCACTTACGAAATGCTATATTTTATTGTCTACATTTTTTAATTTGACAAGCGTATCAGATTTAACGGCTGTGTCACGTATGTACATTCATTACATATGTTGTGTAATTTCTTAATCAGTTATTTAGTTTCGTATGGTAACGCTATGTAGCTTATGAAAATATTTATTATTATAGAAACTTCTATAGTAACTATAGTTACTATAGTTACTTATAGAAACTTCTTCTGAATATATATATATGCAGATTGCGGATTTTTGTGTAAATTTATAATTTTATGTAAATATTCTATTTCAGATATCTTATATATATATATATTTTTTTTTTTTTGCATATTAAACTCATTTTGCGTATTTCTGCATTTCTAAATTTCGTATAAATGCATAAAATCATAATTTTGCGTATTGTACGAAAGATGTTGTATGATATACGTCATAATATACTCATATTTAAAGCAAATTATTCATAGTATATATTAATTTTTTACTGTTTATACTGTCTGCTTATAAAAAACGTTGCATAATTTTTACATACATATACTTTACCAATATAATTATAATACTTGTGTAATAACAAAATTTCCAGAGGTTAATTAAAATTATATTTTCTGCAATAAGTGTTCAAATACTTTCATGAGCTACTGTACTTATAACGTTTCATTTTTTTGTTTTGCTTTCTCTCGATAAAATGCAACACAATCACAATTTCTTGTTACACGTGTGCGTGTTACATGTACGTAGATATATTGTGACGCAAGATGCTTACGTTTGATGATGAAATTATAACGAGCTGTGTTCTCGACTGTAAAATAAGGGTACATGCTACAAGTGTTTCCCTTAAGTGAATATGTAATCGAAAATAGAAAACTCTGTTGAGTTTTGTAACTGTCTAATTCAAGGAATTAAACAAGTTAACACAGAAGAAATTGACCTAATGAATCCAGTAAATTATTTACTGGAAATAAATGAAAAGAATCTTCGAGAATCGACACGATTGGATTTATGTCGCAATGAAAATGGTAAATAGTCGCGCTGCATTAACAGCGAAACTCGGACTTGTAGTGTTAATGAGAATTATGCTTGGTTGATCAACATTCACGACAAACAGATTAACATTTTATTGATGTGTTTAATGAATGAAAATTTCTAGTTTTCCTAATTTTATCAATTTCTCATTCTGAATATTAAATTACATGACTGAATAATTCGAATAAAATTTAAACGAGGATCAGAATCTCAGACCATGGAACAATCGCGCTATTCTGGCATTAAAATCTCCAGCTCCTCCAGTACGCTCTAACAAGCCAAGTGAAGACATTCTACGTAAAACGATCAATACGTTACACATGACACGAAAATCAGTACAACAGATTACACTATATTAAATTTTCCTATAAAATATCTTCAAACATTCGCGTATAAAACTTAGAGAACGTGACCTTCTTTCTCGCCGACGCGATAACTCAAAGGATGCCTCCTCGGCATTCTTTTTATTAACGTCGGAACTGCGAAGGAAAGAAAATATCGCTCGAGCAAAATATTCCACCGGACGTACACGCACGTATGTAAATAATCGCGTTATCGCCAGTAAAATTTGTTGCGGCCATGGGTCTCGTAAACTTGGAGAAAAAAGGAAAAGAGAGAAGAAACAAGGAGAAGGAAGGAAGGAAGAAAGAAAGAAAATGGAGAATGAATTACGGTCGATTCTTATCGGCGATTCCGCTCTTCTTTCGCCAGTTGCTTCTCGCGAGGTCGTCTTCCTCTTCGAGGCCCCTTCAATGTCACGTTGCAGTCGTTTCAAAAACAACGCCCAGCCACGGCTTACACATCCCTCCGACGGCAAGAAACGAAGAGAAGTCGAGGAAGGGACGCGAGCAAGAAGCGGATAACGAGGTGAAGGAAAGAAGAAGGAAGGAGCGGACGATCATCAGCGGAAAGATTAAGAGGAGGAGCAAGGACCTTCGGCAAAACCGGTCATCGTTGCTGGTTCGTTCGTTCGCGTAAACGCGTCTTCCACCTCGGGAAAGGGAATTGCGCGGAACCATTATTCGCACCGGGGATTCGCTTTATAGATCTTATGAGACACCGTAAATAAATTCCGTGTCTCCTGCGTTATGACGTCCGTTTCGTTTACCGTGTTCTTGAATCTCTCGATTATACACCACTTTGTTACTGATCGTATCTTTTCACCGTTACGGCTCGTTTTGTCTCGTTTCATTAAAATGTTCTCCAATGTTTTGACGATTAAACTCGGGAGGTATAAATCTACTCGTGATTCTTTCGACAATGTTTCTCTCGATACTATTTTATTTTTTTTTGGAATTTGAAATTATTATTCGTTTTTCTTTTACCGAAGCGTAGGATAAATTTATCGTTTTGAAAATGTTACAACTTCAATATGAGAGTTTATGTAATATAATACTGCAATTATGTAATAATCGCGTGGATGTTTGTGCATTCATGAAAATTTAAATATGTAGAAATGTAGATATACGATACATGAAGACGGTTTGAACGTGTATTTTAATCGTATATAAAAAATCCAAGGTATAATTAGTTAGGAGTTCTGCTTAGATTCCATTTTTTAAATCGTATTTAGAAAAATATAAATTAAACATCCGGAATTTATTGTGGATGTAGTAAAATTAGATTTATTACGTGCAAAGATCTTCATTTTTCTTTTATCTTTTAAATAATTCTTTAAATATATCTACGTATAATTAATATTTTTTTTCTTTTCACGTTTACGAAAATCATTGAATATTAGAATTATCGTATGACTTTCGAATTTTTTGCGAGAACAGAGAGAACTACGGATCGAATGAATATGCAAACATGCGAATAACTTTCACGCTACTACGGTCGATCTTGTAAGCTCCAGTGGGTGGCGTGGGTGTTCATCAGGTGGACGTTCATGGTGCGTTAGCACGAAGATCGACCTTACTCAGATCGATCGATGAACCTCGATCGCCACCGCCTTCTACACCCACGTGAAACCGGTCAATTGACTACTTTGATATTATAACACCCGAAGACACGCATTTTCAAAGCTTGTTTTTTCTCCATTCATGATATCATTCATCTACCATTTAAGTCTATAGTACATCTAGCTAATAAAAATAATCAGATGATATAATTATAGATTGAAATGTTGGAAATCTTAAAAAAAAAATTCTAGCATTTCAACTGGTAATTTGTACGTATACTTGATCAATTGACATCCTACGATATGTGAATCTTGCAAACAGTTAATCTTTCTACCTATTTTGATAAAATACCTATAGAAAATATTTATTATATTTATTAAGAGTATTCAATTTATAAAGAAATTCTCATTTAATTAAAACAAAATTATTTTATAAAGGATATACTTTAACTTACTACATTTCCGTACACATCTACATAATCCCCGCCCAAAATTTTGGAGCACTCCCTTTTAAAAAATAAAAGGATAAATAAGTTTTTTCGTACGTTTGCTTAAGAAATACGAATATTGTAATTATAAGTTCATTTCTACGTATAATCCACTGCAGTGGATTATACTTTATTTCAATACTTTAAATGAATATTTTTATTTGTGAATATCATAAAAATGAAATATTAATATCATATAACTAAGGAATGAGTCATTTCTTTTGAAACCCTATAACTGTGAACTTTCGAGCGGAAATATACACGCAATAAAAAGAATACTTTGAACTTTATATTGACACGTTAAGTCAACTAAATCACTTCCCTAATTCTCATCAAAAGGAGGAGATGAGAGAATCAGGCGCGAGAAAGAATCTCATGCGCGGCCGCTCGCGTGATGGACAAATAAGTGAGCACTCTCGAGTTGAAGCACTTCCCGCGATACTTACTTGGCATACGCTTTCTCCAGAAGAGCCGGCCAGAATTGATCACTGTGACGACTTTGCACGAAAGCCAGCCGACCGTGAATTGCCGGTAGCCTGTCGTCGACGAGAACTTCGACCCATGCACCGCACCACCATAACCGGAACCTGAAGACCCCGGCGTACTCGGCCGTCGGTGACCCAGGGGGTTCTCCGCTGTTCCCAAATCCTTGATCGGCCGGTACCACTCTGTAGAAAAGTCCTTTACTCAAGTGGAGGACGCCCAGACAGGAAACTAGCCATTTGTCACCTGGATTTAAGAACGAAGTGTTAAAAAGTATGATAAATGAAATAAATAACTATAGAATATAAATGTAATTAAATATAATTAAAAATCATAATTATTATTATAAAATATATCACAAGAAATTCGGAAATTTATTACTTTTTTGGAAATTTCTCTTTTTTTAGATGTTAAAATATATTTCTTCGTAATCTAAATAAAATATAGATACTAACTGTAAAGAGTATACTAGATTTGAGAGTTTTTTTGATAAGTTTACACAGAACTTCATTTTCTACGCCGTTAATCTTTTACGTCATGATTATGTAAGTGGAAGTAAGAAGATATAGGGGAATGTTCGACTAACGAGCTTACGCTGAATGGACTTTTACTGAATGAGAATGAAGACTTATGTGCAAATTGTAAGTGCATTGATCTTCGAAGAATACAGTAAACAATGGAAGACGTACGAGTGTGTTTCACGAAATAGACAGATTACAACTGCATTTTCTTCTTTGTACGCGTTTTTCATTCATTCATTACACATAAGATCGATAAATATGAGACGAAGCTTATTACGATCCAAATTAACTTTTGGTATATGTATTTTGCGCGAGCTATTGCTGCTGTGTCATCGTTAATTAATTAGCTGCGGAATCACGAGAAATTTCTGTAATTACATTGTTCGCGGTGATTATTCGTTACTTCTGGACTTTATCAGAAAATGGTAAATAATAATCGAAAGTAAAAGAGCATTATTAAATGTAAATGCAATAAGTTTACAAATAATTTGTTCTTTCTTCGCGTTTCATAATTGAATACGTTTAAAAAGCGAGTGGTATTAGTCAGTGATTAGACCTTCAAAAACGAAAGTTAACTGAGCGAACATACGAACATCGTCGTGGTGTGTTCGATCGAAGAAAATGTTCTCACGACGTTACGACACACCTTCGATCGAAGATTACGAATCTGTTTCGCTTCTCTACGAAGTTCATCAGTACTCTGTTCCATAATTTATCTGCTAATATAATTTTAATGCCTCTTTCTCCTTTGATATTTATTCATGCATTCCCACGTTCGCTACTATTCAAACGAAAAAAGAAAGAAGAAGTGAAGAATCGCTTCTATTGTTACGCAATATCTTACCAGAGCATAGAAATTTAATTATTTGACTTCCGACTTCGAAAATACGATCAGTTTAAAATAAAATCATACATATCTTGAGAATCACGAAATTAATATTCAAATAATTATAGAATTTTTATGATTATATGTGAAATTAGTTTTGAAATTTTATTAGTAGTGAGCTCACGATTATATATTAAATTTAAAACCAATCTAAAAATGTGTATAGGAGTTATTGCAAATATATATTTAGTAAAAAATTAGAACGCAGAATGAATACTTAATATAATAAGTATATAAGTGAAGTATATAAGTGTTAAATATTGTTTCATCGGATATTGAAATTTATACATTATATTGATACAATTGATCGCGACTCGTATTAAGTACTTTGTAATTTCTATATATATTTTTAAATTTGTTTGTTTTAAAATTAACGTGAGATCGACATGAACTCGGTGACGATCGGTCATTTGCCGCGACCTGATTAAATTGTGTATCTCTATTCAAATGGTGCTCGCATTGATCCACTTTCACTAGAAGGAGACCCGGTTCTGAACCGCAACGATTACAGATGAGCTAACCGGTGTCCAGTTCTTACTGGGTAAACAAATATTTTCGTTTGAACCTGTCACTCCTTCGAGCTTGGACAGCCCGGAGAGAGATAATACCCACGAAAGCGTGTCCATTGTAATTATGCCTTGACGTCGTGGCTCGACGTTCGCGCTGACATCGGTGTCAAGAACTGCAAACACATTGTGCAAGAAAGTACAACGGGCAATTTACGAAGCTGCGTATGGCGTAAAATCAGATTTTTACGAAGAATATCCACAGAGAATATCTGACAGAAATTTTTATTGTGATATTGTGAAAGAGTAGGAAGACAGAGATATAAAGTATAAATTAAGTCAATGTCGTAATATAAAATTGTAATTAGTAAATTGCTGTAATGTTATCTAATAAACTCTTGTCACTATATTTAGTACTTCAGATTCATAGTTACTAGTTATTTCTTTACATGTAAAGTAAAAATTACGTTTCGTTAATTCTTAATAGAACTTCCTAGTGAAAGTTACTTCTGAAATTAGTTGGTCGTATATAATGTTAACTCACCAGTGGATCATTAAGACCGCTGCAACCCCTTTCAATTTCAAATGTCATACGTTGATATAATTTTTATCATTATTTGAAAATATATGTAATTTTTTATTATCTAATTATCCTTCTAATTTTATTTATCAATTTGGTACAAATTAAAACTTCAACTATTAAAATTGGAAGTCTACTTAAAGAGTTAAAATAAAAGTAACTAAAATGTAAAGAGTATACATAACTACTATTGAAAAATTAATTCAGATACCTTTCACGCAATATCTACACTCCCATTTATAAACCATAAGATTCTTTCTAATTTTAAACGTAAACTTAAACTAATAAAATATACCTGTAATAAAATCTTCAAGATATAGTAATCTACTAAAACTGTTTAATTGTAGCATGCCTGGTTATATCCATCTAGCCTGAGGATATTATTTCATAATATTACCATAGATATCTTCAAGACAATCTTGTGATTTTATTGAATCGTGGGGATAGAATTTGCAAATGTCGCGAAAGTGATTCGAAACGAACAATTGACTTTCGCTGAACAGTGGGAAAATAAGAGATAGTTATCAATGAATCGTAATTATAAACGAAATGTAATTATAAAACGATTCGCGTAATTCGTTGTTTCTGTTATGATGACGAGCACGAATACTCAACGTATTAAACGTTTAAATAATTGTTATCACGATCGCGTTGTGCCCGCATTTTTCCCATTGGATCGTAAACATGTGTGCCAGCGCTTGTAGAGCGGAAAGAAAGGTGCCTCGATTATTCAAATAAATGGGAAAGAATGCTTCTCTACAATTTTATATTCAATATCTGTCAAACATGGATTTTTTTCGAAATGTACATTTTGAAATTTTGAATCTTTGGCATACAATAATTATCTTGCATTGAAAATGAGTATGTTACTATAATAATAAATGAGATTAAATAATAAATGAGAAACTTGATATTTATAAAGAAAGTATTGCATGTATCACTGCATCTATTTTAAAAATTAAAATCCCATTCGAAGACCACAGTCTAATATTATCTATATATTAAACATTTTTTAAATTTCTATTCAGAAGCTTGATGACATTACTACAATATGGTTTTATTATTTATATCTATCTTCAAAAAATCTACTCTCTGAGTAATTTTTAAACATACACAACGCAAAATATTAAAAACACCATTTCACAGTAAAGTAATATAAAGAATTGACAAAAACAAATATATTTAGCAGAAGAGTATAATATGCACAAATTTTGGTTAAAATAATATCAGGAGAATATTATCAATTTTCTAAAACCTAGATACTAGATCTCACATTTTAATTATTACCTGTAATTTTAATTATTTCTTTGCAAACCTACTAATTTTGAATTATTTTCTTTCATTCGTCCACTAAAAGTACAAAGGTACAATATTCAATAAAAAATGATGAAGTATCTCTGTCACACTTGCTTGGCTCATAGCAGGAGGAATTCGAATTGTCTTAAGTCGAAAGTCACGTATTGTGATAATTCCGCTTGCTTGCGTGTGCTCTTACGTACTTATACGCGGTAACGGGACACAGTACTGTGAATGTGTCGTCTTTGAGAAACGCGTTTGCACGAATTCCCGGATCGCGCCACTTCCGTCCACGATGCTACACTACCTACGATGCTCGTGAATCACTTACACACCGGCTCCTCACGAGACAGAGATTAAATTCGCGATGCGTTCCACGCTCTCGACTATACTTGGCGTTGTAACTCGTCGACCGCGATGCGACAGCTTGATAGAACCGTGGTCACGAATATCTTGTTGTTTCACTGTTCCCAGAAATCAGAGCACGTGTAACGGAAGATAAAAATGCAAATTCTTGAAAATAATCGTCCTTGAGTCATTCACTTGATGAAATTGGAATGAAAGTTTGGAGAGACGAATGTATGTGAAATAAAAGATATATAGTGTATCTAAAATATTATTAAAATTTTCCAGTTAGACGTCAGTTCAGATTTATATTAAAATTAGAACGAAATATTAATGAGAATATAATGATATTAAGAATTATGTATCATTTAGAAGAAGAATATTGTTTTATTTTTAATAATTTTTTATTTTCAAATGAGAATCATCGTTTCCAAATTATTCGTATACGACGAAAAAGAAATGGACTCTTTGCTCAAAAAATGCATTTTTTATTTAATAATCAACAGTGCTTGGTACCAACAAAAAATTGACTCCTTTTAAAATATATAACGAATATAATTTCTCAGATGATCATATACCATGGAAGTACTGATTTCAAGTTTAAATAATTCTCGTTAATAATTCTTAAAAACTGGAAACGATTATTACGAAGTCATTATTTTTCTAAGAAATGAAGTCTCTGAGAGACACTGACTTTCACATTTTTACGCGATGATGCAAAAATAAAGGTGCACGAGGAGGCCATAGAATTATCATACAATACTGCAGAGTTCGGTTATTCGTTAATTAAATCGCCGAGAATATCGATTATATCGGTACACGGTCATATGTGTCGTGGCCCGAAGAAAGCCCCTTGGTTCTAAGTTCTAACAGCTTCGATGACACGACCACACTATATCTCCCACGTTTCTCAAAGGTTACTGTAGTCACTTTCAGGGTTTGTACAATTTCGAGGTCGTCTATAGAAAGACTCGATGAGCGTATCAATTTAAGAAAATAATATTTCTACGATAGTGATAATGTCACATTAAGTAACAAATTATAGTAGTCAAAGCTCACCTGAAGATGTAATAATGGCTCGAAGATGTCACGAAATTGTAAATCATAATTCAGTGACAAGAATCTATAACCTCTTCATTATATATATGAAACTATACTCATATTCTTATAATAGCAAAATTTATAGTAATCTTTTTATTTCTTACCCATTTTCCCGGGAATCACGTCGAACTGGGCTGGTGTATCGCTGACAAATATTGGACGATTGCATAATTCCTAAAAAAAAAAAAGAAAAATATAATAAGTTATCCATTTCTAAAAATCATATGCATATTTATATACAGTAACTCATGAAAATATTCGAACACTTGTTATAGAACAAATTTTGTGTAAAATATATGTATATTGTATTTGTATAAAACATTCTGACATTTTATTGATACTGTAATGAAAGACAATTATTATGATTATATTCGTAAAATTTAAAACCAATTTAAAAATGTATATAGAAGTTACAAGACATTCATTGTAAGCATTAAAAAAAACTACACCTAAAAAAAAATTAGTATAAAGCATTAGTAGTCATCTTAAGCATATAATAAATATAGAAGATATAAATATAGAAGATATAATGATTGTGACTATAAAAATATTTTTGTAATTTCTGTATCAAACTTGTATTAAATATCTTTCAATTTCTATAGATATATTTAGATTTATTTCAAAAATTTGACTAATATAATCATGATAGTGAAATTTCAAAATGTTTTATACACGTAATATGTTCATAAAAAGTTCATTTACGTGTTAGAAACTTTCACGAAAAACTGCATAATTCTTGGAGTTTCATTTTTAGTTTAATATTCAAACATAGAACTTTTATGAAATGAAATATAGAACTTTTATGAATTGAATCGTGCAGAAAGTTTAGAACAATTAACAGATTTATTTTATATTATATTAATATTAATTTGACGTTATCTGATTGAAGCCCCAATCACAGAACAAAGGCTGATTATATAATGCACCGTTTTTTGTTCTATAATACATAGTTATTCCTAGACGGACGTGGAATGTGCGATTAGCAATTCTTCGCTTCGTCGAAACCTTCGGAATTCTTGCAACATTGTCGTTTTTTATCCTTCTTTTTGCAACTGAAGAACAATTTCCACGTTGTTCCCGGTTTCGGAAGAAACATTTCCGAGGATCATTTGACATATGATTTAAGCGTATCGTAACAGACAGTTGTTAATTACCGCTAATTATAATCCTCGAACATGACTCAACTATTTGCTGTTCGTCATTTATATTTTCATTGTTATGTTCGTTCTACTTTTACCGTGGCACTTCCTTCTTATTAGCAAAAATATTTTTCACGTACGAATTAATGAAAAATTTTACGTATTTTCTACAATCTTGTAAAATCAATCAAGATTTCACTCGACAAATTAACAACAATAATTGTACGTAATAAATCTTGACAAATGCGACGTGTAATTCTAAGAAAATATGAAAATTTGCAATTTAAACTTTTTTGAACTATTTTTAATTTTTTAGATGACAATTACATTGTCAGTGTTTATGCAAATACCTATTTTATAGAAATGAAAATCGAATAGAGGTGTGTTTGAATGTTCTAAATCCTGAGTATGTATTTTACTTTGATATTTTAAAAGCAAATATCAACCAATATGCAATTAATCATTAGATTGCAGATTTTTATGCATTTATAGGAAATTCTAAAGTATAAAATTGTCCATAATATGAAAAATTATACCTGTAAAATAGCCAAAATATAGTGCTTTCTATTTTCTACCAAGCTTCTATTCTTTCTAATTCCTTTCTTAAAAAAAAAATAAATATATATATTTTATATATATTATATATATTTACATAAAAATCCGCAGTCTAGGAATTATTATTTGTCTAATTTGTATTCAAGTTGTAGAGTATGTAAATAACTATTAACAGAAAGACTTTTGAAGAACGAGTTCTCGAAGCTATAAATGCAAAGTCACGTATAATATTACGTCATAAAAGAGGATCTAAATAATTTCATTCTAATGATAGTCATCGACAACCTTTCTTTTCAACGCAGAACGTTTAGACTGTCGTTCCTCTTCACTACTCATGTCACGCTCACCTTCGATCCTTTCCGGTCCCAACAAAGTGTGACACATAAGTGCACGTCTCACGTAATACCTATTGCGTGAACGCAATTGTTGACTATGTTGTAGAAATTGACTGCGTTGCACCGATGTCAGTAGCTTATATTATGATCACTATACGCAACAACGAGAGCTGTAATGTCTCGTTTCAAAGGCTAAATAGGCTCCAATTACGCGTTGGCAATCTTATGCCTTACTCTTTTCTTGTTTCTCGGACGATTGTTCAAATTGCATAATTAATTCGTTAGATCCTTGATTTCGTGAAAATTTTCATATTCGAATCAAACGAATATTTAGTTTGAAGCAAATTTCAGGCAACGCTCAAGCAAAATTAAATAAACTTTTGTTGGTTAAATTCACTTAATTGAATCCTATTATATGAACGAAAAATCGTCAATAGAGGAGAGGGAGAGTTTTGTTATATGAACTCCAATTATACATATAATGTAATTGTCTTCTGACAAGTTCATACAAACGGAGTCCGACTATGTTTTGTTTTATCTGTATATAAATGACTTGGTAATTTGCCGGTGCAATTAAGAAAATTGCGTTACAGATATTAATAGAGCAATTTTTATGTGGCGACGTTTCGCTTGGAAAGAAACCGTTAGTACGTCATGTACAGTGGAGATATTACTGCGCGATTATGAGCATGGAGACGGTAAAGCATGTACTATGTGTCAAGGTTGCACATTGTCGCCGCTACGGTTTCTAGATTTCAGATTCTCTGTTTTTCCGTTTTGTAGGAACTGAAGTAAATCAATGTCACTGAGTGCAGACCGCATCAGAGATGATGTAAAAACTCTTATACAAAGATTTCCATATGTTCTCCGGAGTTAGTAGCAATTTAAATTAGGATTAGAAGACATGCATGCAAGTTCCTTGGAGTTGTGGAATTTTAAAGCAGAGATTACGAGATTAAATTAATTCTGATTCAAAATTTCAAACCAGAGAACAGAGAGCAGAAAGAGATCCTGGAATTTAGGTAGAGTCAGTCTTAATCTATGGAACTTAGGTAAAGTTTGAGCCGTGAAATTGGACAAAATTAGTCTAAGCAAGTTATCGAATACAAATAATATCATCATAAATATCAAGACCTAAACATTTTGTACTTGTAATATCTCGAAAATGACATAATAAAGAAAGAATTTTTTAAATTGAGATACAGCTGGAGTTTGTACGACTCTGGACTTATGAGATCTTTGGACAGAATACTTCAGAATACTTCAAGATGAATGGGATCTTCACTGTTTTGAATAAAATAATATTAATTTATTATGAAATGTTAATTACCTTTGGTCTCTTCCACTGAAACTGAAACGGAGGTGTTTGATGGTAGAAGACCGAAGTCTGCGTTGCTGGAAATTCTGGGTCTTCCCATAGTTCACCTCGTTTCAAGCACGAACGCTTGATTCGTTCGTACTCGCTCATTACGTCCTGCAACAATAGAATTCCATTCGTTAGCTATGGCAATTATTCTTATTTTCAGTATGTATCTCTGCACGCAATTACTTTCTGCTCATTCAATCATGCAAAACTATTACATAAGCGTTCACGTCGTGAATTTATCATCATTTTTACAATGAGAGTTTCATGAATCTGGTTTAGTATATTAATTAATATTTATGGCAGTGCTACGCATTAAAGATGAGAAAGTAACAGTATAGGTTTATTTAACGTTCTTCGTGCTTAAATTGCTCTTGCACAATTATCATGATAGAATTCCTCCACGGATTTCTATTTGTAACGTTACGTACAATACTTTTAGATATTAATATTCTATTATCAGCATCATCAACATTAAGATTTATTACGTAACGTAGCGAGCATCTTGAACATCAGACGCATTAAAAACACTTATTACGACCTCGATAGGATGTGATAACGTGTTTCAAGACCTCATCGAATACTCATTGTATCGAGGTCAACACTTTCTCTCCTGGTTGGAAGTCTTCGTTATTCAGACAACGTTTTTTCCTCTATAACTGCAAGTAAATTTATTCCAATTCGGTGTAAAAAATATTTTTAGGTAATCAGTAAGTGTAAATTTCTGATTTACGATTGAATTCTTTATAATCAGTGAAAGATTTTATCTCATTAGTGATAAAATTTTTTCTTTGGCTTCCTCATGAAAGTTTATTGTAATGAAAAGTTAATCAACATCTTATTGTACGGCGTCAGTCCTTTAAACTAATTGTATATTGTCTTTTAGATGTACGTATATTTATTTATGCGTGTCTATATACAATGATTACAAAAAGTACTTACACATATTCTTATTTTCCAACGAAGCATTTCATTAAATTTTACATTTCATTTTGACATTTTCATAATGTCCAATTCTTGTAGTTATATAAAATATCATATATCATATTTTTAAATAATATGAAATTTAATATACATATACGAAATTGAACAATCAAGTAGTACAAGTATATAAATGTTATATAATAGATGTAATGATATGCAAATAGTCACTGTACATCTATAAATATCATTGTCAATTACACATACCCTTAAAATTAAAAATTATAACCTGCGTTAGTGAAAAATAATCTAAATAAATAACGAATTTTTCCCTTTCATTTTGAGACAGGACACAATTATTTAATAAGATTGAAGCTTATATTCACTTTCGCTATTTTGCCAAAAATAACAACAGAATGCAATAATTATACTTAAATGTTCGATATGTTTTCTGTAAAAATTATATCATAAATATTTTATAAGAGCAACATAACCATTGGACGGCACTTTCCTCCCTTTCTAATGATACACGAGGTTTCTTTTACCCAGATCGTAACTCAGACGTGCTCCGCCACGATCTCTCGAAGCAAAAGTATAAGAAGCACTTTCGAATCCTAACGAATCGACGATTTCCCCTCGGCGAATCATCCGCCTGTTATTACTCAAAATCATCGTCACGGAAGAAATACTTTCGAGAACTAGCCTATTGGCGATTTATACGCGCAAAAGGAGGATGCTCGATACGGTTGGAACAAGCAATGACACCACTCGATTATATTTATTTCGCAACGATACGGCTGATAATATATTTTCACCGCGTGAAAACGCGAGGTGATAACGCGAGGAGGAAGGTCTGCTCGCACACGCGTGCACACGTATTTATTCGTGAAAGCGTCACGATTGCGAAACATAATTACAGAAGGTTGGACCCGCCACGTTCTGGCCATTGTTCCAGCCAGTCAGCTAATTCGTCCGTGAAACAATCCACGGTGCACCAATTAAGATCCTAATGAGTCGCTACCACGATACCGGCTAATTAGAATGCCTCTGAGACTCTTCCATGTTGAACAATTTCAACGGTTCACAGTTTTCTGTTATGTTACGTCGTTGCCTTGGCATACTGGGTTAGGGCGTGCCTTTTGCTTTGGTTACAAAAGTTTACAAAATGTACGATTACCTCTGTTTCTTTAATTTGTCTTTTTTTCAATAGGGTGGAATCACGTGGATTATTATAATATTATTTATGATGATTTTATAATCTTTATTTTTATAATAGACCTGGATTGTACAATGATCGTATCTATATCATAGATGATGATGTGGATTCACAGATAAATAATGTGATTGTTTTTAGCAATTCATATTTTTATAAACACAACTGATGAAATAGAATCTAAACGGAAATTTGTTTCATAGATACTATGTATTAAATATGATTTTTGTAAGGCTACAAAGAATTTGATTTTTGTTCTATGACAGGTTCATGAGTATGATTAACTCTTCAACCTTTTCAGAGACGAATTTTTAATTTCAGTTATAACAAAAAAATTTAATTTAATTTCATTCTAGTTTTAATTGGAATTTATTTTCTGGTTAGCAAATTTAGTAAAGATTGTACATTTATTTTTGTAACGGTTTCGAGAATGGGAGTAGCTTTTTTATAGAACGTAAATTAACTATCTACATATGTGGCTAAGGGCATGAAGAGATTAAGCATTTCAAGATAATAATATATATAAAATAATTACTTCAAATATTAAAAATTCAAATAGGATAACACATTACAATCGAAAAATGTATGTTCAAAGACGAATATATTTTTAGTAAATTTCTTAGTATAGTTCTTCATATATTTCTTACTCAGTATTAGAATTTAAGACTTCTGGAAATTTTAATAAACATTTAAAAGGATAAAAACAAAAATGACCTAATGCAGAATTTTTATATCTTTCCATTATCTGTTTTCTTTCAACATGTGACAATTATTAAATTCTACCAATTAAAGCACGAGATTAACGAGAATAAAGGATAATATGTTTATTAAATCGTTCGTTATTAAATGAACAGGAGAACCTTAATGAGCAGGAGAACTCTTTTGTCGTAAATAACGCGTAGTGGGAGAATGATTTAGATAACGCTGATAAATTTTAATTCCGCGAACCGATTTAAAAACAGTTGTGTTTCAGTAAATCGGTAAATCGAAGAGGATCTTGAACAACTGAGCACTTAGAACCGTGTTAGTTTCTTGTGGAAATCAATGAAATTTACCGTTTCTCATAAAACGGAGTTGCAATATATAATCCGTTCGGGCTCTGTTTTCGCGCGAAATACTTTCACTTTGTCCTCCGCTTGAAAAAAGAAAAAAAATATATATATATAGAACGTTTAAAGCGAATATATTCTCAGGCAAATCTGACGTCGTTGAACCAAGTAACGAGATAGTAAAAGAAACTGGTTATTTGCGACATCGATCGCAGTGAGACAAGTGGCCTTGACCGATTCGCGTCCAACAAAGGACCAACTAGATGTAAAAATGATGAAACAAAGAAAATCAATGTTCCACAAAATTTGATTTCTGATGTACGAAAAAATATTTTATTAATTATAGAAGAAATATTGACTTTTTCATTGATTTCTTAATTTTATTATGTAAGTATATGATTAATATTTTGTTTATTTATCACAAGAATATGATATAAATAATAGTAAATTCTAACATAGATTTAAAAAAACATTGCAGTTAATTCAAACACTAAATTCTCTCTATTCTGCTATCCTTACTTTAAAAAATCTAATCTAGCACTTTCTCATTTTTCAAGATAAATTGAAATATTTTTAATTCTATACCCTTTTTTTTTTACCTTTTAACTAAAATTGTATTACACAAGCTGTTACAAAAAATCAAACAGAAAAAAATGACGTAAAGAGGATGATGAAACTTGAGTTTCCTCGGATGATGTCATGTCAAAAAATTGTAGATAGAATATTTCAACCAAGGGAAGCACTATACCGCAACCCCAATCCAAACGATTCAAGACTCCGCAAAAATTATCCAATCGAACAAACGAAAATGTTGGCAAGAAACATTCGGTCGGACTTCATTTCGCAAGAAACCACACGGACATTTTATTTACTTTTACAGAATTACCAGTTGTTCTCGGTACCTTTTTTCTCTTAACAGGGGCAAGGAGCAGCAAAGAGCATCGAAGCCACGGCGCAATCATCCGACGAAGGGAAGCATGAAGCACACTCGCGGCTTGGTATTCTGTCAGAGATAGATGCCCCTAGCACGTACCACGAGGAAGAAGAAAGACAGAGAAAGACATGGAGAGGAAGAAGAAAGACAGAAAAAGAGATGGAGAGAGAAAGATTTTACATTGTACGTGCCAGGTTATTCGACTTCGCCTTCCGCTAAACCGAACACTTCTCTCCGATCCACTATATATATGTTCGGCCGTATAATAGCTACCATACTGTGGTACCGGTCGGACTAGTTTCACGCTTGGTTCTCCAGCGGCCTTGAAGCGCGCCAACCACCGCTGCAAACTCGCGACGAGAAAACCTTTATGGCACTGCCTCTCTCGAGACGATGTTGCGACGATGTGCCCTGTCGTGGTCTCTTCTACGTGGATTCCGACTCTCCGCCTTCCGGAATTTCAGCTGTTAAGCTTCGGCTTTTATACAGCTCTACGATAAAAACGACCGATCCGGAACGCAAATTACCGACGATTCACAGCGTGGTATGCCTCCAGCGCGGAATCATACTAGTAAAACGAACCGATTGCAAATGCTCTGTTCCGCTACGAGGGTGTGGCACCGGATGATAAAATTTCGCGACTATGCGGAAACATAGGTGCCGGTAGGTGTCAGTTAGGTGAATTAAAGGGTGGTGGAATGAAATGCTATTTTGTTTGAGAATATGTTTTCGTGAAAAATATACGGAACAGAACATAGGATTGTTAACATATATTTGTTACGACAAGTATTTGCACATTATTATATTTATTAAAATATACATGTTAATTAATTAGATTCAACTATATCAAATGTTGTATCAGTAGAGTACTGACTAGAAAAATTTCATATTATGAAGATGTGACGTAGAAACTCGGAGAAATGCTTTGTTAAAAAATAAGAATACGTGCAAATACCTTTTATAAAAGGTGTTTTAGTTAAATCTTACATATTTG